TTCTTATTTTCAATGATTTACCAAATCCTCGATCTGGATCTGGATTAAACATAATAGCATTTGCAAACATGCGCATCAATTCTTTTTCAAATTGTGCATAATTTATTATACCTTTTGGAGGAATTAAATCTTCAGAGATAGGAAGCCATGCACTAGATTGACCTTGATCATCAGGTGCAGCTTGAGCAGCTGCCACAGCCGCTGCAGCTTTATGTCCTGCTGTAATAGCCGTTCGAATAGACTTGAGATCTTGTGGACGAAGAATAAGATCTTTGTAACCTGGAGCGTCGCGTTCTTTGACCGGATTTGCAAATGTGCTCGCATTTCGATGACCACTAATGGATTCTAAAGCGGAAACACTGATCTTTGGAAAAGCACGAGTCCATAGAACAAAAAGAGGTGGCCCTCGTGGCTCCCTAAGCTCAGGACTATCAAGGCGTTTTCGCTTCATCGCTTGCCGAGGTGATTGTGGTACTTTAGATAGTCGACTGGTACTTTCATCAGCCGCAATATCGGCTACATCACCAACGCCACGAGGTGTCGCGACTTCTTGTTTAAAATGAAGACCAGAGTTTTCAGTGTCCAAAGAGAGTTCGTCAGCATGTGACTGTACCGATTGACTTCTTCTGAATGGTCCAGTAATAGGAGTTGAAGTTGTACTGTCGGCTCGCTTGCGTAGTGTGCTTGGTGTATGTGGCTTGCCTGTCTTTGCGAAATCCTGCTTTGAATGTGTCCTCTTATGTGACGACTTCTCCACGGATTGAGGTAATACTTTAGGTTTTAAGACAGGACTAAGAGGCTCGATTTGAGGACGGGAAGGCTCTCTAGGTAATCTTGGAGTAACCCCAGATGGTCTTGGAGTCCATTTAGTGCCACTTCCAGTCATAAACGACTGAGGTGCTTGAGATAATGGAGTATGAGGTCGCGGTAATTGTGGTCTGTGCTGCATTGGAAGTATTCCGTAGGTAGAGAGGGTCGTGGACTTTGATTTTGCGTTGTATGGTGAATTATATTGCCCTGTTCTCGGGAGCAACAAGTTCTGGTCGGGAGAAAGGTGGTCGGTTATTGGGCGGCGGTCCATTGAATTGATAGTTTTGTACCGGATATGGCGGTTGGAAGGGAGCATTCCCATTGTGGAGGGGGATGGCCAGTCGAAGACAGAGGTCTTTGTGGAGGTGGAGGTGGGAAGGAATGCGTATATGGAATATGAGGCGGAACATGTGGCATAGATCCTTGAGGCAGAGACACAGGAGGTAACGGTCCTTGCTGAAGCATAGGAGAACCAGAAGCTGCACGATATTGCTGTCCAGCAATATCTGCTAACGTATCTAGCTGCGTGCCAGACGTGCTTGGGGATCTACCCATCGTATGAGGCGGTGGCAAAAGAACCCCTTGTTGATATTGAGGGTTTAATGGAGAAGATGGTACAGAATGATGGGGCGGAGGTAAATGTGGACTCGGTAGAGAATTTCGGTGGTTAGGAGAAGGGTATGAATGAGGAGGATATGTATGTGGAGGAAATTGTGGAGGATAATATTGGGAGTGCGGAGATGGATGCGGCGATCCAGGCTGGGAGTTATGGAATTGTGGAGGATTGGGGCCAGGGTGAAATGGTGGCTCCCATTGCAAAGGAGGAGGACCAAGTTGAGGCGAATGAGCCTGACTTTGTAAAGGAGACGGACCATGAGGGCCATGACTGCCATGACTGCCAGATCTTTGATGAGCCATGGGTGGCGCCCCATGTTGCGTGCCATTTCGAGGTTGCTGTTCCGTGATATGCTTTTGTGGGGGAATGGGAGTAGAATTTTGAGAGTTTAAAACATCACTGATAGCCAAACCTTCTGGTCGACCTTCGGTTCTTGGCGAAGGGCCTGGAGATGGAGATGGTTTTGTTCTTGATTGCTCTCTTACAACTTGAGGTAACGGCGGAGGAATAGCTATCTCAAAAGATTTGATTTGTGGAAGTTGGGGCTCTAGACGCTTTTGGTTCTGTCGGCCGTGGCTCCTGTAGTCTGCTATCCAGAGGTTTGGGTTCTTGTGATTTACCATTCTCCGTGGTAAGAACACTGCTAGTGATACCATTTAGCTTCGTGCTAGCATCCTCGACTTGTCTATGTCCATTTTGTTCAATCAAAGCCCGCTCTCCTCTCAAAATTCTCTCATCCCAATCCCCTCTCTCAATCGCGGCAATATCTCGTTGAATAGCCCGGTAGTTTTCCTCGTCTTCCCTGATCGCCCGTACCATATAATCTCTATACCGCGCATATAACCTCTCAACCAAAATTGGCAATTTTTCTCGGTAGGGTTGGGCATCCTTTATTGTAGGTAGAGGTGGGCTCGAGAGTTTCCGTTTTTTTGCCGGTGCTGGTCCATTTTCTTCTTGCACATCTTGCTCGGCATCATTTTTTAATTCCTCCCGCAAAAGTCGTAAATATAGATCCCCCAGTAATTCTGCGCTCAGTCTTCCGGCATCGTAGGTTTCCCCATCCTTAACCAAGGAATTATTTGTCAAGAGTTGTGAAATTTGAACGAACGAGTTGGGATCAGTGCCATATGCGACTAAAGACTGGAATAACAATAAACATTCGAGAGGCGTATAGGCTGAAGAAGTATTCATGCCACGGTATCCTCCTCGCCAGCTTTCGAGGGGATTTCCACGACTTTGGGGAGGGTGAAGAGGAGCCACGACGAAGAGGAGGAAGGTAAGTAAGGTGGATCAAATTGGCGACAGATCGATAAAAAGTCCAGAGATCAAGACAATCTTTTCCAATCAATTAATTAAGCAATTAGAGCGATAGCATCAATGCGAAAACTTACTATATTATCGAATTATTAACTAAACTTATGATTGATGTCGATTAATAAAATTTCGAATCGTGATTGATGTGGAGACAATTGATTGATTTATGATCTTTAGAAAAGTATGATGTTATTCACATTCACATTCACATTCGCATTCGCATGTTCCACTTCACACAGTTTCTAGCCAAAAATTATTAGTAGTCACGTGCCTCTATCAGAAAGACATCAAAGGGACTCGGAATTTAAAGTCTCTCGGTCGGCTGCATTTGAAGATTTCCCAGTCCTTTGGATTTTTGGAAAATATCGGCGAGATGTCCCGAGATTTTGAGATTTTAAGATTTTAAAGGCTGGGTAAACCGAGTTAGTGATTTGATAGTGCCAGTCTTAACATTACAGCCTTTCGGAGCCACGCCAGCCACACTGTATTGATATGGTTGGTGTATGCTAGATGCTGAGTGAGATTGGGCATTTTTGGGGACTGATAAGTTACCCTTGAATCAGTGCTGTAGATCGATCGTTCAGCTGGTAAGTTCTTACTTGTAAAAATCAATGCAAGGAAATGCACTATAGATCTATCGCTACCTATAAAAATGAATGCAATATGAATAAACTATAAATCTCAAAGTACCGATACCTGTGCTATTGATGAAAAGATAACCACTTATTGTCTTCTCGAGAGAAGAACCGCCTCTTATTAGCATTTAAAGGGGTCATCTAATAGCCAGGCACCCTTGACGAGATCTTTGAAATTAACAGTGTTCGATGGCATTAAAGAAGTATCCTGCCATTTCATTCAAATACACTTTTATTTATCCCCTATACACCCTATTCGTCGAGTCTATTCTTCTTGCAAGAAGACCTACCTCGAAGTATTGTGGAAGATTATGCTTTATGAGCTTGCTTTACGACTACGCACGAACCGATTAGTTGTTCCTACCATTGTCCCCATAGAAACTTATCTAGTACTCATACCAACTTGGATTTTGCTTAATGATGATCTTCATGCGGAATACTCGAATACTCTCCAACTATTTGTTAATTATCAATATAACAATTAACCAGCATAAAGCCAGTCTTTTAACTCTATTTTCATAAAATGTAAACCTGTTAGTTGAACAGACATCTATGCATTCCACCTGGCTAGTTCCCTCACCAACTCATTCGAGACAACTCAACTCTTTGGACATTTTCTTTCTTTTTTCCTTGATGAGCCAAACCTTGTGAGATTGTTCCTGAATTTGGATCGTATATATCCATATATCTACTCCGTACTGCGTAAATATCCACTCCCTCGTCATTTGTATCCCCCAGTTACCGGAAAGAACGAACCAAGAGCTTCCCCATTAATTTCACATGACACTAGTCTAAAAGCCCCCTATTATTATTATTATTTCTCTTTCAAGCTGCCAATCTCCAATCTCCAATCTCTGAAAACAGAGAGAGGATCCGCATCAAACTTATTACGATTCAGTAACAAATACAAGAAGAAGCCCAGAATTTTCGATTCTTGGAATTTCGACGTCTTCTTACTTCTTCTACTTCTTCTTCTTCTTTGCCGCAAAATTATCCAATTTTTATCAGCAGCATTTTCCCATTTTCTATCCTCAGAACATTCCATAACCAATCCCAACCCAATATCGTACCTGAAGATCTCATTCGCGGGTAAACTTTAAGCTACAGCCCTATATCCAAATAGCTTCCTCCAGACACTTCAACCTCACAATCATGTCCGACACCGAACTCGATAGTCAATTTGTGCCAAATGGCAGGCCACAGTCGTAGGTTTGGTAGTTTTGCAAGCTGTGTTATAATACTGATGGACATTTAGTCAAATGGCACGATCATTCGCTCTCGCTTTGGATGACTTGTTCAAACTTGACAACACTGATGGTCTGGACGCTATAGTCACAGAGAAGTAAGCCGCCTCACAATTATCACATACCACTCAAGTTTACCACTAGCAATACTAACAATATATTTTTGTCTATTAGGAAGAATGAGATATCCACAAAAACCTCCGAACTCGAAGAGCTAGAAGCCCGACTTAAAGCGACCGAGGAAAGATTAAAAGCCAAACAAGCAGCAGTAACTCCGAGAAACTCCCCACCAGGGAAATCAAACTCTCAACAACAACGCTCTATGATGGATCCTATAAGCCCATTAGAACCGAAGTTTGTGAACAATCACCCATCGCGGGGTGCCGAAAGCAGCAGGATGAATCACTCATCCAGGCCAGGAGCCCCAAGACAAGACCAATCATACACAACAGCTTTAGCATCACATATTCCAGGAGCTTTACCACCTACTCCAGGGGCTAGTGAAGGTGAATACGAATCCGATGATGGGGAAAGGACCTGTGCTGACTATGTAATCGTAACCAAAGATGGAGATGTTCCACGGGCAGGTACCGAATGAATACGATTAGTATTATTACACAACTTCATCCATTCAACCCGCGTAGGGTCATCGTACCATTATCGTTATTACTACAGCCGCATTCATTATTCTCCGACTGGTGGATCATTCAATTGTTTGACCACATCGTTACATTCCTGGCGTTACCGGTTCCGCTTCCTAAACTCGACTTGGATTACGGTCCCATCTCCGATTTTGACTTTCGAGCGATGGATTTCAGGACATGGGTTTGCGGGGTTTGCGTTGTATATACCATGGTCAATTCCTATAGAGAGAAGGATTTTCTGGATTTGGGTTCATTCGATTAATGTTTACAAAAGAGTTTTGCTACCAATGAGTGCTTATTTCTGGTGGCTGTTTCTTTACCTGTTTTTCTCCACAGAACAAGTGAACAAGTGTACCGTTCATTTTTTCCTATGTTTATCTCCAAAAGTAAGTGTTTTTCTCATGGTGGAAACTCGTTGGTTCATGTGAGACAGATGCTCTCTAGCTAGTGCAACGAGAAATTTAGAAAACTATTCTAGAAGAGGTGTTTCTGACAAAGATGTTCATGACACGTGAGATAACTTATAAGTGAAGTCAAAAAAGGGAATTTTTGACTGTAATGAAGTCGCATCTTCTCTTTGCCTTGTGTACGCAGTATTCCATCCGATTACTCTAATGAAAATATTCTCGATACCTACCTACCTAGCTAATGGTAAGGTCAAGTTATATTGAGACCCGATATACAACGAGTTTTAGGTTGATGCGAAGATATAAGAGTTGGAATGTATATGATTTGAATTTAAAGAATTATTATGGAATTGAGTATGGATTGGAAGTATTTGTATTGGAGGTTTGAGGTTTGAGATTGTTGTTTAGGGATTGCATTGGGTGGTTGGATGGATGATTGATTGGGAGGGTAGAAAGCTATGCTGTGTTATAAGATGGTGGATGGTGGATGGTGAATAATTTGGAAAAGTGGTGGTATTTCTTTTCTTTCTTTTGGTGGGGCGGGGGGGATAGGGGGAGAGAATTGGGGGCAGAGAAAGAAAGAAGGAAGGAAGGAAAGAAGAAAAGAGGAAAAGAAAATAGCAAACGGACACTGGAAAGCTAGTGCTCGTGTAATAAATAAATAAATAAACAAATAAATAAATAGTTGTAGCCTACAGGTTGTATATAGGTATACGAGTAGGATAATATATCTATACCGGGTATTTCTGTTTTAGGATCTAAGTTCTAAATTCCAAGCCGTCTATGAAGTATAATTATGTTACGCCGAGTAACAAGAAACCCTCACGTGCAACCAATATCACGTGATTGGCTCAGTAAGGATCAGTGAGCTCAGTACTGAGCCGTATTGATCCTACTGAGTAGCCATCGGTACGAAGGTCTATATAATCAAGATGGATTTCCTTTGTATAGAGCTTCGTGCTCAAGATCAATCATTTAGTATACTCTACTATTAGTTACGAATTGCATATCATTATTGTCATTACTTAAGTCCCTGCTTGACGCCTAGTTATAAACCACCTCGAGAGCCTAGAGCACTTCCACGTGATCTAGACGGCAAACCTCATAACATATTGATATTAAGATAAAATAAAATAAATAACTTTATTAATTTTTTCTAAGATGGCTTTTTGTTATAAATCACTATTTATATTAAGTATATTTAATTTTAAAAAAATGATAAATAGATTTTTGTAATGTTGTAATTGTATTCTTATATATTGTTTTTTTACTTAATAGGTTTCATATTTTGATTTATCAGAATGAGATTGAGGAGAGCTATATAATCGGGCCTGTACAAGAAATAGTGAGACTAGCTCATTCCTGCAGCAAACTTGATATCCATCGACTATCTATAGGAGAATAGGCACATATAACGGAGGAGAATCAGCAAAATTCCACAGGTATGGAAATGGTGCACTGAGGCCTCGATTTCAATCAATGCGGTATTTTTCGTACACAGCTCCGCCATCCTTTGGATGGGATAGGATTTTCGTGTAGCAAATAGGAACTAACCCAGTCCTGTCGTGTCGGCTTGTACGTGTAATTATATGCTGATATATCAAATTACCTGCCGCTTCAGGTTAGATGGTTGGTCAAAGGGCGTGAGAGGTGAGTATCTAGATCGATGGTTATTACGTGATGCCAGGGGTACATTTCTTTCCATATGAAATATCAACAACGCTGCGGTAGTAATTTCTGGCTGCTAACTTGCGACGGTAGGGTATAGCTATTAGGTTTGGTAACAACGATCTACCGAGTGAGTATAGTATGCAAACAATCATTCTCTTTCGAATTTATTGGCAGAAAAGGCTTTTATTGGGATTGATAGATCATCTTCGCTTCTGCAGCAGACTGATTATCTACCCCGCACTAAGCCCAGAGCAGGTCACAGGCTATATGATGTAACTCCCACAATTGTCCTTTTAACCTTTCCCCACTTTCGGTGTTTCTACAGAGTATATATCTTTCCTGCTTTCTTTCTCTTCTTAACACTTATTACTCATAATCCAAATCCGAAACTTTCGACCATCGACCTGAAATTACCTTTCTTCTCTATTATCACTCCTTCACCAAATCGATTCAGTATGTTCGATATGAACCGAAGCGTGGTTTTTCACGCTATGAATCATCCTCAGATCAAGGTAACGTGTAACAAAGGCATGGCGGGTGTTCCTATTCGATTCATCTTTGGCTTCAAGTCAAGGATGCAAAGAATTTGGTTCTGAGATTATACCGTACATATGAACTTGATCTAGATAATTCTAGCGAAAGGACATGCTTCCTCTTCCTTCCCTTGCGAGTCTTCTAATCTTTTATTAGCTACCCGATCAACAGAATGTCGACCGACAAGATCACATTCTTGATGAACTGGTAGGCTACATAATTTAAATCGTAGCTTCAGATGGTCGGAAAAGCTCATTTGAAGCAAAGGAGTAATCTAACAGTTGTTTTACCATTAGGCACGCAACGCCATACCATGCGCCCGTCTATCTTGCCCAAAAGCTTGGGTACTTCGCCGATGAAGGTATCATGGTAGCTCTTCTTGAGCCTAATGATCCTAGTGGTTAGAAACTTAATGCTAGATAGTTTTGGTCGGGGAAAAGCTGACGGAATCAACAGATGTTACCGAGATCATTGGCTCTGGAAAGGTTGATATGGGATTCAAAGCTATGATTCATACTCTTGCTGCCAAAGCTCGGAACTTCCCCGTTACCTCAATCGGCTCTTTGCTTGATGAACCATTCACCGGAGTGGTTTATCTCAAAGATAGTGGAATTACCACCGACTTTCGTAGTCTTAAGGGAAAGAAGATTGGATATGTTGGAGAATTCGGAAAGGTAGGAATGAATTAATCTAACCGTTTTAATAAATCTAATAATTGGTGACCACAGATCCAAATTGATGAGTTGACCAAGTACTATGGAATGGAACCAACCGATTATGAAGCCGTACGTTGTGGCATGAATGTCTCAAAGGCCATCATTGAAGGAAGTATTCATGCTGGTATTGGATTGGAAAACGTACAAATGGTTGAATTGGAGGAATGGCTCGCAGACCAAGGTCGCCCTCGTTCCGACGTTCAAATGCTCCGTATTGATGAGCTTGCTGAGCTTGGATGTTGTTGCTTCTGTTCCATCTTGTATATCGGTTCGTCTCGTGGTCCAAACGTCTGGAGATGCCGACTAACATTTCATAGCAAACGATACGTTCATGGCACAAAACCCAGAGAAGATTCGCAAGTTTATGAAGGCCGTCAAACGAGCAACTGACTACGTACTTGCTTCTCCGACCGAAGCTTTTAAGACATACATTGACATTAAACCTGAGATGGCATCTCCTGTCAATCGTAAGATCTTCGAACGATCTTACGCATACTTTTCAAAGGATTTGAAGAATGTTCAACGTGATTGGGAAAAAGTCACCAAGTATGGTAAACGTCTTGGTGTCTTGAACGAAGACTTTAGTCCTAATTACACCAACAAATTCCTTGAATGGAAGCTTGATGGTGATTCAGCTGATCCAACTGGTGATCAGAAGAGAATGGTTGTTTTGCAACAAGAAGTTGCCGATAAGGGTGGCTTCAAAAGACTCGATGTTAAGCTTGCTGCATGAGATCTCTTTTTGAGGCTTGAATTAGGAGATTTGAGATCAATTCCTACTTTCGTTGATGAACGGAAAACACACTCGTTTTATATTTACCAATGAATTTCATTCGAATCAAACAATTGGTGCTCTATCTGATCTGATTGCCGTGATACAATGCAATACCTTCCAATTTTGCAAATTTTTTGAACTAATTGACGAGACGTCCGATTTTGGAACACTTAAGCTTGTGGAAGGCAGATAGAAGTATCGCAGCTCATTATATAGAAAACTAGCCCGATCTCTACATCACCTGTGATATCTAAATACTGTGAGTTATTCATTCCCTAGATATTGTTAATTTTTTCCGTAAAATATCTTTCTTGAAGCTCTTTTCCTGAAAATTCCGAGTCATGTGACACACAAACCAACGAGGAATGCTTGGAATAGAATAAGGGAGTTCTTCTGATATATAAACATTATTGTACGAATTATCAAAACGATTATTTAGTAAATAGTATACAAGTCAACTATATGTTCTCTAAAATCAAGAGAATAGTTACTAATTAACGCCCAACCATCACCAGAAAAACTAAATGAAGGGGTAAACTCAGGTAATTTCGGACTTTGGAAATTCTACTCCAACACCAACCACAAACCCCACCTTTCAAGTTTTCTTTCACCAACTAACCGCGACTAATGTTCAAATTTTCATTCTCTACCCTATCAGAGCACTTATTACTAGATAAAGACTCCACTATTATCCCACACAGAGCAAAGATTCTTTCAATATAATGTGAAATCCCAGCAAGACACTCATCAAGTAATATCTGGCCTGCTGGCCCAATGGCAAGGCGCTTGACTACGACTCGCAGGGATCGAACATCCCTGAGGTCTGGAATCAAGAGATTGCAGGTTCGATCCCTGCGTAGGTCAATTTACCATTTTATGGTTTCTTTTTGAAGGTGTTTGGATGAGAAATGGATTTTTTTTTTCGATGTCTTTTCCTGGCGGATGTTTGGTCGGGTTTTTTGGGTTCTTTTGGAGTGGGATTGGAATTAGAGGGAGCTTGGTTTAGTGCACTGTACTCTGTATAGATCCTCCTTTTACGTGGAAGAGAAATTCTAGGTGTAGAGTTGAGTTAGGTGAAAGGGCTAATTTGCTCGTGGTATGTAGCGCATAGGTTTGAGGCTTATTGACCCGCTTGTTTCCGTCGGATAGACTGTAAAATACTCGAGTATCTAACTAGGTAAGAAAAGCGGAGCCCGGAAATTTATTTACTGGGCTTTTTCATGTTGTGCAACATAGCACCATCTGCAGCATCTCGGCTCTTTTCAACGACGACATCAAACGAAACACAACACTTACTATTCGAACTAGGGGATTGTACACATTTCACTCATTTGGACTGCAATAATTTATTTGAAAGATATAAATATTCAAAAGATCGATTGATCTCGAATGCTATACAAGAACTAAATATACATACATACAGAAGTGTATTTCAACCGCCTGCGATCTCCAAAATTTCACTTCACCAATCCTCCTATGACTAAAACTTATCATCACACCTTAAATCAATCTACATTCATGATGGAAATTTATGCAGGGCATCCAGAAGATGGGAAGTTGCAGGATGAGGTCTTTCCACCTCCAGAGATGCTAACATCTGTGAATTTGAAGTTGGAGCAGGAGCCACTTCCGCAAAGGATGTAGTAGTTGTATGCGTTGCTAGTGGTTGTACCGGTGACGCCGGAGAAGGCAATGTTGGAGATGGTAACGCCGTTTGTTGGCTCGCCAGTTGGTCCACCGTTCAAGTAATCTTGTTGAACGTCGATACCGTAGTTGGAGATGTTGGACATCTGGATGTTGCTGTAAGTGACGTTCTCGATGGTACCGGTCTTGCCAGAGTTAGACTTGATGCGGCATCCGTTTTGACTGTTGGTGATGGTGGAGTCGGAGAAGGTAACGCCAGAGACGGTGTTGTTGGATTTTCCACCGACGGATCCGATAGAGAGACCGTGGCCACCTGAACAGGCCATTCCGGTTACGAGGATGTTAGAACCAGATGTGACGGCGACGCAATCATCTTGGTTCTTGACAACAATGTTCTTGAGGGTTACAGAGTCGGAGTTGGAAATGTCAAATCCATCACTGTTGTGTGCGGCTGCTTTGCTGCCAGATGCTGAGTTAGGGGCATCTCCAGCAGAGTTATCAAGGGTAAGTCCTGAGACGGTAAGACCCTTGGCACCGGTGATATCGAAGCAGTGAGTAGGCCAGTTTTGGATGTTGAGGTTGCTGATAACACCATTGACGATATCCTTTACAACGAAGAAGTGATCAGGCTTCTTGGTTCCTCCGTTAGAACCCTCTCCATCCCAGTATGCAGGTCCATTTCCATCAATGACGTGTCCAGGAGCTCCAGTAAGGGTAATGTTCTTACCCTTGACGACAATTGGGTTGAAGCTATCATCGGAAGTGGTTCCAAAAGTAGTCTTTCCGGAGAAAGTGACGGTAGTTCCGTCTTTGAGCTTTTGAAGATCAATGGTGGAGCTTGCTGGTGCTGAAATGTTATCCAAGACGATGTTTGTGCACGAGGCAACAACGGAGGCAATATCAGCATAAGCTGTTGCTGTGCATCCGGCTGGGGCTGATGGTGCCGGTGTGATGACTGCGCTAGCTGCAGATGCGCTGGATGCGACTGCAGTGCTTGAAGCGGAGGTGGTTACTGCTACGTGAGTTAAAGCTGTGACCGAGGTGGTGGCCGAAGCGCTGACAGCGGCGCTTGAGCTCTTCTGATGTACAAGTTAGTCTAGGACTTCAGACTCGAGGTATTCTTTAGAATGTACTCACGGAAACAGTAGCCAAAGTGGTGGGTACGCTAAGACAGCTGCATGCACTAGACAATTTCTTTGGCTTGTATGCACATGCTGAAGCAAAAGCGGGAAGATCGGTCGTTGCCGCGTTTGCCGATTGAGTGTATGTGGCGCAGAAAGGACCAGCAGCTGCGGCAGAAACGGTGAAAGCGTTAGCGCAAGCATCGTGATCTGGGTTGTCGCAAGCAAGAGCGATTGAGGCTAAGCCTCCAAGAATAATTGGAATGCGCATTTTGGCCAGCAATTTCTCGTTCAACGAAGGTAAATGCTTCAATGGGGGAAACAAAAAATTGAGTATGTTAAAAGAGTGTGAATGTGAAGAGAGTTGGTTGTTGATAATGTGACTGAGAACGGAGAGACGTGAAGATATATACATGAGCAGGACAAGAAGAAATTGATCAATACAAGGATCTATGTCATCCGATAGATAGTTTGCATGCTACCGCCAGAGCTCCCATGCATGCAGGAAATTACAGGAGGTTTTCCCAGCACATAAACGAAGTGTGGAGTCTACGTCAAGAACGTTTTAATATAAAGTTATTTTTTTTCCGTTTGTTTCCAGAGGAAAAATTGGATCCCACGAAGTACAGACGTCGATACCCCCTGATTCCCCAATAGCCGCTGATGACATCCGTTGTATCCTTGGGTTGCGGTAGCTCCTCGCTACCGGGATTCCCAATATTGGAATTTTATTTTATCAGATGTTAAAGATCGTCACTCTTTAGTGCTAGATTAGATATTTACCGTCGATTTGGCTAATCTCTTGGATAAAGCTTGCATAAAGCTTAGCTAAAGCTTCACGGAGTAAACGGCATGAGAGGTCTGGTAAGTTGAAACTTGGCAGGTCTATGGTGGAAAATACTCCCTCCCCTTTAAGTGATGCTGTCAAGCCATTAACAGGCTCAATGCTGGTGATTAGAAAGTTTTAACAAAGTGGGGAGTGTATGGATGAATGCATCCTCGGATCTGATTAAGTTCTCCCAAAAATCCCCATAAAAATAACTTTGCATAATATCCGGAAGTAAGAGGAGTTGTTTAGACCGTTTAGACGTCCAAAAAAAGCGAACCAAAGAAATCCTGAATGCCAAGGCATTAATACATGGTCTTCGAAATTCTGTTTCAGAGCCTAATTAGGACATTTAGAATGTCAATCGTCACATTTAGCTTTAGCGCCTAGAATGATCCCAGCTAAAGGGTCCTTCGGTTTCCAATTTATGATTTCGGTGATTAGTCCTCTGGTATTTTCGCTCCGCACTCCATTTTATTCCACTTTTAATAAATTTCATAAAAATTAAAAAAGAGTTCCTTCCGAGACCTTCTTAATGATGATTGCTTATTTACATGTAAGCGTAGAGGGAAAAAAGCTTCTTTATCTTATTCCTTCGATTCTTCAAATCGTTCTAGATGTTTTAGTATGTAAACATGTTATCCTCGGACCTCCTTTTTACTTTTTGCTCAGATTACCTCACCGCCTTTGTCTTGCTATCAATCTGATGTGAAATAAATCTTTCTGCTGCTAAGTTACAAAGCAAGGCGTCAATTGAGTGCATTGCTTACATAAACTCCCTCTTAACGTTCGTTCGCATGCAATCCTTCCAACATATCTCGAGATCCAACTGAATACTTGCCCCTCTTTCTTTAATCAACAAAAAAAATTACCCGTCAAACTAAGCCTACCATCTCGGACTTAGAACACGATGCCTCTCCATGCTGTCAAATTTCTCCTTTTCTCCTCCTCTCCTGCAAGTTGCAGGCCATGAATTCCATGGTAAGTACCTAGCCATTGATGATCATCGCCTTCAACGCCTTGCATCGCTTTCAAACCCTTGTTTAGATCTATTTATGAATCTCTATACTTGCCGCGGAGTACTGTGGTGAAATACTGATGGGGAGCTTCGATCCTGGACCCTTTCACGTGACACGCGTCGATGCTAGACATTCGCATCAGTTTCGATGCAACCCAACTTTTGTCATGTTTTTTATGACATCGCAGTAGTTGACTAATTCTTCCTCCAATACCCCCTTCGACACTATATTTTACTCGATAGGCTGATCTGTCTGCGAGCATTCTAAGAATCGAAGTAAACTCTTTTAGATCATGTTGTTGCTAGATTAACAAACAACAGTTCTTCGTTAAGAAACACATTCATTCCGCTTAGTATCCATCATGGGTAAAGTTTCCAAGTCCAGTGTGATTGGATTATCTATTTCGCTGATACGAACTTCAAATCTACTTCAAGAGTAACTCACTCGTCAAGCACCAGGAGGAATCTTTAGTCCCATGACCGCTGTGCTGTGGAGACATTGGAACATGCTAGGGTTGTCGGACCGCCCCTTCCTCCCCCGCAATATGTAACACTCCGCGTCCAATTAGCCCCGGATATCCCTGCTATGTGATTGGTGATCCTACACGAGGGGAGATTTAGCTTATGTCTGGTTGGGGCGGCCTAGGATATGCCGGATTACCTATGTCGGCAATCCCTTACCTCGTGCTGTTTGGTGACTTTTATCAGAACTTCAGAAGCAGTAGACGAATATCTTAGATTGGTTTGCGAAAGAGTAAATTCGCGCTGTCCACGTTAGCTTGATACCACCTATGTCCTGGGGCGCGCTGCGAAATTGGCTTGGAAGGGCAGATTATATGACTAGGACGAATGCTAATGGTGCCCCAGCTACCAATCTTTCATCTTATTGATGGATTTTTATGATTTTGTTGTTTTTAGACTTATGTTTCTTTTACTTGCTACTTGCTACTTGCCATTTATTCTTCATCAAGATGATGCTTGGAAGTCATCTGTTCCATGTATAATATTCAGCATGTTGATAGATATCCTTGAGCTTTCGTAGTTTTACTACTGTTTTATTGTATGGGGGGTTCCTCCGGAGTGAATCTTTTGGATTCCAGTAAATATTTCTTCTTTTTTTTCCAAATTTAATTAAATAAAACAAATAAAAGAAAAATTAAACATAGCCTCCTTCCCCCTCCCCCTTAGATCTCCGTCCAAACCCCCTCAAAGCTCTTCCAAGTTTCTCCGACATTTTCATATTTTTCAAACGATTCTTCTTCTCCCTCTCCTTTTCCTTCTCCCTCCCTTTCTCCTCCTTCCCAGACCGTCCATACCCATCAAAAGGATTTCCCCCATTTCCCCAACCCTCTGTTCCAGAAGGATCTCTATCTCTATCTCTATCTCTCGAGTACCCTAACTTTACCTTTATCTCTAGAATATCCGAACGAGATGATATTCTCGAAGCTTCCCTAGATGAAAGATTCTGAAGATCTTTCGCTCTAGGTACTGGTTTAGGTACTGGTTTTCGCGTAGGCATGAATGTAGGATCTTCGGGGCCACCGACGCGTTTTCTTCTTATAGAGGAATTAGGATGATTGTACTCGGCTGTGGTTGTGCTTGTGCTTGTGTAGACTGTATTAGGGGGGTTTTGACTTCTGTTATTTTGTAACTGAGAAGATGAAGAAGAGGAATGTTCTTTTCTTAGTTCGTCTGCGCCTGGTCCTCCCCAATCAGTATCCGCGTCGAGAATAACTTCTTGTTCCATTTCTGCACGATATGCTCGTCCTATTAATAGTTAGATACTTAAGTACCTATCGAAACATACCTAGTATATAACCACTCTAGAAATAACTCACCATGATCAATCACCACACCTCTTTTAATAGGTACGGGTTTAACATCGTCGAATGCAGGTCTCGACAGCTTAACCCTTACAGCTTCCTTGAAAGTTTGCTCAACAGATGATCTTGATTTCGTACTATTGTTAGTAGTAGATTTATGAGATTTTTTACTATCATCACTTTGAACAGATCTCGATTCTTTCTTCTTTATTCGAGTTCGCGATGGATTATCTGTCGATTCATTATCTGTAAAATTTGAATCGAGAGGTGGTACACGATTCGAGGCGGAATTACTGCTATGATAATCCCCAGTTATCGAATAAGAGGACTTTACACCACGAGAAGTAGCCGACACTCTCGAAGATGGGCGAGATTTCCGATCCGAGCGAATTCTCGGATCAGATCCTTTATTATAATATGGAATCGCCCTCTTACTTCTACTAGAGACGTCGGTATTATCACCATTAGTGCTAGATTTACTAGTACTTCTACTCCTTTCTCTACTCCGCGGCGAAGAACGATATTCTCTCGAACGATTCCTCCCCGTGATACTCTTCCCATATTCATTTTCTGTATTGCTTGTTTCTAGCTCCGCATCTGCATCAATATCTTGCGGAATCAAAAAATGGGGTTTTCGCCATCCATATCCTGGCTTGTAATCCCCTGCATATTGTGCAGAGTTCGATTTCGATGGTTTTCTATCTGCTGATATTGATATCGCATCGCGATGACTAGAGCGTGTTTTGCCGATGTTGGAAATTAAGGGAATGGGATTTAACTCTTTGTTTCTAGATCTCCCGTGATAGTTATCTGTAGTGCTAAGATTATTATCGTAGCTATTCTTCGACATCTGAGCGACTGAAATGATGTGATTTTAGAATATTGTACTAGAACCATAGGAATGGATAGATTTCATCAATATATTTCATAAGCCTTTAGGTCTGAGAAATGATACAAATATCTGGTAATCTGATAGTGCCAACAAGGAAAGGAACTCTTGCACTGCCATTTGTAAAGGTCTGAAATCCTAGGGACATTGTATGATGACCGACCAGATTGAAGGTAATATGCCAAGTTCATTTTCATCCTTAGATACCTATTCATGTCACTTCGTGATACCTGAGAGAAAGCTCACTTATCTATTCATCTTCAGCCACAAGTGGCCGAGAGACCTTTCGGTCAAGTCCGGCTTGAGGCCCACGTGATAAAATTTAGGCGCGCGCTTTATTTTCGTTGGCTTGTTTGTATGTTTACAGTAGGCCCGAGAACTTTCCTTTTTGTCGCAAGCTTATGTTTGGTGAGGTTGAACAACTTTTGATTATTTGTTGTGGTATGTAACGTCGAGAGACTGGACCACAATTGCGGCTCACCAGCTCTATCCATTGAACCCTTTCTCCTACTCACACATGGAATAAATTTACACAACAATAACACCACTAGAACTCTTGATCATCAAGTCCGATGAAAGCCCCATTTGAATCTTGAGCAATATTCCGCAAAGACTTCCCAATGCACACCCATCCATCAACGACAAGAGCCAAAAATTCAAGGATATTACATTTCCTATCTCTTTTCCTTTTTCTTTTTATATTCCTAAAGGATCAAACTTCCCAGACCTAATACCACTATCCGCATCCCTAGCATCTAATGCCCAATCAAAAAATAATAACATTACTGATCAGTAACTTCACCATTTCAATAACTGAGCGGAATAGAATCAGAAATGCAGGTTAACAAAAAAGAAAGAAATTAAACACGTATGAAAGAAAGCAAATGCGATATAATTACTGGAATAAAAGATATGTACCGATGAGAAAAATTATATATATATATATATATATGGATGGTATTTGAAAGCTAAAGATATAAAGTCACGAGATCATAGATGATGTATGACGTTGAATAGGATACAAAACTCGGAGTCTGAGAAATTTAAAGATCTTACAATTAATTATCCCTTGAATTAATTGGCCAATTGAACAATCAATTTTCATGACTCCTAAGACTTTTGAGTCTTTATCACCAACTCCATAAGTCCATATCCAAAGTTCTCCTACCTGCCGACCTCAAAACCTCAACCCTTCACCCCCCCCAACCCTCTCATCCCTCTGCTCCCTCCACCTCCTATAATCTCCACTAACCACAACCGGCACACCCATTCCCCTGGGCCACATCCACCGCCCCTTCCCCTCCTCACAGCACACCCTAACCATGCCTTCAAAAGGCGGTTCATCTCCATCTTCTGGAAGTGGGGGTAGAGATTTATTTAACAGGAGATCTAGTTCCTCTATTTTCCCATCTTTCTCCATCCCCAATGTTCCTTTACTCAACCCGCATTTCCTCGCAGGGACATCTATAAATCCCACATCTTCTTCATCTGAGTAATAATCCTCTTCATGGATTAGTAGTGATTTTTTAAGTTTTTCTTTTTCTATTTCTTGTTTTTCTTGTTTTTCTTGTTTTTCAATTTGGGTGTATGCTGAGCGGCCGAAAGCGGTGGATGTGAATTTGCTGGGTTTTGGGGAGGGGCCTGAAGAGAGTGAGAGACAGGATCCCATTTTTGAGTGGGTAGGTTCGGATTCAGACTCAGATTCAGAAGTGGATGTGGGGGAAGAATCCGTATGGGGATTGAGATGGTAAGTTGAGTGTGATTTGCGGAATAGGGTTGTGAGGAGTGAAGACATGTATTTCTATGAGGATGGATAAAGTAGGAAAGTGATTGCAAAAAACAAAAAAAGGAAGATGAGAGAAAAATATCAAATGGAATTTATTAATCACAGCGAAAATGATGTGATAAATGTAAGCAGGAAAATGTTAGGAGAAGAAGGAAAATCTCGCGAATTCCTAGTAGTGATAAAATACCAGACTTCGGGTACTACCAACACAAAAATACTACAAACCAGCGACTTAACATCAAAACGTGTGAATATAAATACATTAATGTAACAATTTTATTTCCGAACTCTCAGAAAGCCATGAACTTTTATGTGTTGGGGCGGGTCAACCTAGGTCAAGCTTAACGCTGACCACAAGAGAGCCGCAAAGGACCTAATCCCTAGCGTAAAATAGGCAATGAGGTTACTAACGACCGCCATAATAAAGGATGAAGGTTTCAAGACGTATCAAGAATTTGTTGGCTTGTAGAATGATCCGTGGTAATTACCCCGTACATCAATCTGTTAGTTTGTGGTTTTGGGTGTTTTGGCGGGGTATAAGATCTGGATGATTGATGTAAGTGGAGTTCTATTATGAGGGATGTGGGAAGAATACTAGGTATGTATAATGCAATGTAAGGGTGATGGATGTGAGAAGCATTGCATGTAGGATAGAGAGGGAAATGTCAATCTGGATAGCTGCATTAGCTCAGAGGCCGGATATCGTATCGACATCTCAGGGTACTCTTCATTTTAGCAATCTAGATTCGAATTATTAGATACTTTCTAGTAGCATTTGAGTGTTAGAAGAATTATCTCATAAGATACTTTAATTCACGAACTCAAGTTCATCATTCGGATGATATTTGAACCAAAGTAGTCAGGAGAGGAAATGTGTTTTTCGATGCCGTGGCCAAAATTAATTTTTCGGACCCAAGACAGAATAAAATTTAGTACGTAACAGTTAGGTATCTATTGCTCTGCTTGAATATTCCAAGGGTATCTGGCTTCCAATAATTGACATGTTTCCGCATTCGAATCTCCCGCCCATTGGTCTTATGTGGGACACTTCTTCGTTCTTCTCGCAGTGTTTCCTCACGGCTCATAAAATTTACAATTGAGCCAATCGATCGAGAAGTCCCTCTACGCAAGATCTCAATGTCCACCATTTCCCTTTGACTCTTGCTCTTTCTTTTGTTGCTTGATCATAGCATCAACTCTGGCAAAACTTCCAATCCCCTCAATCAAACAACTTGTCATCCATTTCCACCACACCGAACTTCCCCTCTGAACATTGTACTTCATAAGTCTAGACCTATCCATCCAGAAAGCTTCCGCCACGTGAATTACAATAGTGGGGATAGCAATCTTAGCAGAAATCCACACGAAAGTCGCCGCGCCTCCTGGGAACCATCGCAATACATTGTCGTAGAAATATGTACCAGGTACGATGTGTGATTGCGTAACAAAGATAACGATAGTCATCAAACATGCCCCGAAAATCAATCGATGGACGAAAGTCTTTGGAGCCTCGTATCGAGTAATAGTGTGTGGAGAAATGTCAAGAGCAGTGCGAGATTGGGTGTCCATGGCGACAAATCGAGGGCGAGCGTCACTGTATGAAGATAAGGGAGGATCGATTGGAATTGTGTGGGATTTGCCTGATTTGGAGGAGATTGTGAGTGAGGAGAGGGATATATCGAGGAGTTTCGGGTTGGAAGCTTCGTTTTTGGAGAGCTGGCAGTAATGTCGCAAGTAGAAAGATAGAGAAGAAGCGTGGTCTGCATTCATATGTGTGAGGATACGCTTTTTTATAGCAGCATCTTTCTCGGATGAGGAAGCCATGATGACCAGATCAGATCGGAAATGCTTGGTCGCTGGGTAGCTGGGTATTTGCAATGTACCGGGATGCTCTGACAAGAAACGGAACAACGTAGTTGCGAAACCATGATTATTATGGGGTAGTTTCAATGAAGCTCGGGAAGTTTCTACTTTTGAATACCCTTTCACGTGCTTCAAAGATGCCCGAAAGCCTTAAAATTCATGAGTAAATTTGAGATTCCTGGGATTTTATTGGTCAATTGATATCGGGATTTCAGATATTCCGACTCGAGATTGAGATTGAAAATTGAAAAAAGCATCGGAATTGAGAGATTCCGAATCCTAAGTTTTATTGCCGATCTGTGCTCAAAAGAGGCTTAGTGTGAGGTGTCATAGACGGCATTCCGTAAATCCCAATTGTAAAAATAAGTGACGGACGGTACTCCGTAGATCTCGATTGTAAGCACCTAACCGGCACTCAGCGATAGTTGATGCCTAGTACGCTAAGGCAAATACCGGCTTATCGGGAATAAGATATTCCGACAAACCATTCGTACCTACCGGTAGGTACTTTTGTACTTTTAGTCTTCAACCCCAACCCAACTTTTTCTTCAAGAATGAGCAAATGAATCTTCAATTGGCACTTTTTATGATTTACTCAACACCAATGACTAGGTACATAGATAATCTTTATTCTGATAACGGCAAACGATATCTCAGTCCAATCTTTATCTACCTGCGCATGTCCATCGTCAGCAGCCTGTTGTCCTCGAAGTACGAATCACACCGGATCTTACAGCAAATGTCGCACGGCAAATACTCGCCGGGTACTACATGATTGTTTGTTTGATCGAGAATCTATTCTCGACATATCTCATCAAGATCCTCTACCACTCATACACACCATATCAATCTCAACATAGCATGGCTCGAGAAACCGTCTTTTTCTTCATTACCGCAACTTATCTAAACAGGAAACCCGTTTAGAACCGTTAACATCAGCACACCCCTTTCTTCGACCCGACATTTTACCATCTCTGCCTCATTGCCTTGGACCACATGAGGAATTATTTTGCGAAAGACACGATACATACTTATCAGAAATACGTTTGTTTGTGTAACCTTATTTGTAAATTCCTATCTCCCAAAACTCAACCTTATAGATGCTTTTCTCAACATCAAGCCTTATCATGGACAACATTCCTGCCTCGAGATGGAGAACAACATGAAAACGGGTCTGTAAATTCCACACCAAGGTCAACCTGGGGTCGATCAATATAATTAGCCTCCACTCATTCATTTACACTGATGGATGTTAAAGTTAAAAGCTGACGACTTTAGCAACCACGAAGAGACTTCGTACGCAATGTATAAATAACCTTTAACATCTTTACGGTGCGACTATATGTTGTACTTCATATCCATCCATGGTCTTTCACACACGTGGGAGGAGGGGCATCTAGTATTTATAAAATGTAGGGCTCCGTACCTGACAAGTAGTTAATTTGGCAGTCTGTGATGCCATGAGCTTTTTCCCTGCAGCTAGAGGACAATGGGATTAGTGAGAGTGGCTTCCCGCTAAACTTTTATTACTCGTCTCCGAACAGGGGGGGAAGTTCTGCCGATGTGATGAACCAGCCACAAGCAAATGATTCACTTGATATAAATCTCCATATACGAGTTCCTAATAAATAATAAAAAGGATGTTTATCTTGAGCATCGATAAATATTTATCATTTTGTGACACTTATACGGGAGTTGATTGGATACATAGATAGTCTAGTCGCTAGTACTGCAAGTAAATCTAGAGTAGATTAGAGTAACAATGCTCGGCAGTAAACAAGATGGAATCGAACGAATCGGAACATCAGTCAATCAATACAGACAGCGTACACGGTAAAAGTCTAGACGAATATGCAGATGGAGTATGGCCAGAACGGTAGTATTAAACTTGTTATAACTTATTAGAAGATGTAAGATCTTACTTATGATTACAAGATACTATCAATTTACAGCTTCTATTAAGTATATGATATGATATATGATATGTATAGTCTTTCAGGGGAAAGCACACTCTCACAATGATTCTTGGTGCGTCCCAGAATTTCAAACGAGTTATATAAAAATAAATCCCTTGATGCACATGTTGAAAAATAGTATATATAATAAGACAATAATATTAAAAGAAATAAATCAATGCTATGTATTATTCAGCCTTGTATTGAATTGTGCTCTTCTCTTCTTTTTTGCTTTTGTTTCACTAAACACAGAAGATTTGCGATAAGTGAAGTACAACCTCGAGTATCTTGTCATATCAACCAATTTCCCGTTTCCAATTTCTATTTTCTAATTTCTAGACAATCGCCGACTGCATTCATCATCGCATTTAGTTATTACCAGGTAGGGTAGGTAGGTCACTCCTGTTTAAGTCTGAGCGCACATTTAATTGTACCCATCAGGATTACCCCCTTCCAACCTTACCTACCCAGAACAACTTACCCCAACCTTCCAAAAAAAAACTTTATGATATTAACGGCGAGGCCAATTCTCGAAGCCAAAAAATAGTTTGGACTCGAATCTTCAATACCATCCCTCCATCCTATTCCATCCCTCCATTACATTCACAGCCCACCAGTACCAAATCTCTCGACCTCGACCCTCGATTTCTGTGGCTACTACGACAAGTTTACATTTGAGAAAAACAAAAAAGATCAACAACGCCAGAGAAGAAGGAAAAAGTAAAGAAAAAGAAACTTCTCTCCTGATGAAGCAGATTTCATTTTATCCATCGCCGACATACCTTTGCTAATTAGCCCCGTCGCGCCGCGTACCGCATTCCACATTCTTCCCAATGCGCAGTTGATAATATGCCCTGGCAACCTCTTCCACGCATCGCATTCGCCGTCGCAACATTCCCTTTTGTTGCTTCTTCGCCCGCAGATCTCCCACTCGAGCTTGGAGATGAGTTATACATAATTGAGCAGGGTGGAAAGGATTTACAATGGTTTCGAGGATATCTGGTTGCACCGCCCAATCTGCTGGCTGGTTTGACAAGCACAAAAGGGCAGACTCTTGAGGCAAGGGTTTTCTCTGGCATTTTCCCAGCCAGTTGCGTAGAAGTTCGGGAGGTGCTAGGGGATGATGAGGGACAGAGTCAGGTTTCTACGGAGGACGGGGACGGTGTTAATGAAAACGGATTGACGAATGGTATTTTGGCAGACAAGAGTTCTAGTGCTATTAACGGCGCTCAGGTACAGCAGTCCAGAGGATCAGCAGAAATCGACGGCGCAAATGGACAACCTGCCAAGAAGAAGAGAAAGAGTAAAGTTTTCACGAATGGGAATGTCAACAGATACTCAATTACTGCGAAACGAGAACCCGGTGCGCCAAAGCCAGCAGCTCCAGTACCTATGCTGAAGATCGGAGACGAGACACCAACATCTGCCTCGGAGCCATTAGTAGACGAAATCGCATCCTGTCTAAGAGAATGGCACTCTACAAATTTGCACGAGCTTCTACTTTCGAGACAATATCACAAATTGGATAAGATGTCAACTTTGGTAAAAACTCTAGATCTTTCAAGGAGGCAAATTCTGCATAATGTTTGTACGAAACGCGAACTACAATCTTTAAGAGAGAAGACAGTATGGGACCTCGTGAGGGGAAACAAATTGTTAAATGGGGAGGTTATTGTTCGGGATCCTGCTGCTCGCGGTAGGGTACTCACAGGTGATGATTCAGCGGTAGATGTCACTAGACTTCAATCTATGATGAGTCTGCTGGATGAAAAACCTCAACTTTCGGTTCCAAACGAAAACCTAGCACTACACCATCTCCAGTTGGATGTGAAGGCTTTTGTTGGCGCGTCTACAGGATCCACAACTCTATCGTTTTTCCTAGCGACGAAAAAGCCAGGTTCGATAGGCGTGGCACTTTCGGAAACTTACACTGTGGAGGTGCCTGCCAGTGCTTCTCTTTCAAGTATGGGAAAATCGGGACAAATAAGAACTCTGTTTACAGACCTCGCATCCGCGGACATTGGAGATTTACCTTCTACGGAAGGCGAGCTATATCTTATAGTGAAAGTGCAATCGTCGTCGCAAGTCACAGCGGGCAAACCTACATCACGTAGTGGATCAAGAGGCAATTCGTTTTCTAGGGATAGTGTTAGTAAGGATCGAGATAGGCCTGCACCTTCTGGCGCTGCAGCCAAGGCAGGCAGGAGGAGTTTGATGTGGGGTAAACCTAAGAATACACCCAATGCCGGAAAATTAAACTCTATGACCGAGAATTCCGAGCCCAGCGGTGAATCCCAGTCCAGTCGAGATGGCGCCAACAGGAGTTCATCGTCACGAAATGGTAGCGAGTCAAAGCCTGGGACTATAACTCAAACCATCTCCAAGACTGTTGGAATGGGAGCTCTAAGGTTGAGCTCGCTGATGAAAAATCAAGATGAAGCTGAGCATGTTATGACCATATGGTCGCCATCCACTACTCCTGGGAATGACAAGCCGAGCCCGAGTGAGGGATGGGAGGATATTATTCGTGATCTAATGACGAGCCAATCTGGTCAGTATGAAAAATCTCGAAGAACGGAACGTCTACAGGTATATCTGAAAGCATTTGACAGTCCAGACGCGGACGGCTTGATCAAGTCTACTCCGACTCTATTGTCTGGGATCTTGAAGACAAATAAGATGGGCTTTTCCGGGGCGCCAACGAAACCAAGGTCAGATATTTATGTTACCCTTGATGAGGCATTTCTTCCTAAGCAAGCTCTTCTATCGCGATCAATTGGCAGTGCGATGCCTGTACCCTCATCATTTGTAGGATCGAATCTTCAAATTACTATGGAAGTGAGGAAATCAAGCGGAGAGCGGCTTGAGGGCGCTATCTATCCCTCATCGAATGCAGATGGTCAAAGTTCATGGGAGTCGGTAGCAGCCGAACGAGGTGATGCTTGGAACCAGACTCTTCGCTTATGTATCCCTCAACAGGAGGTTCCTAATTGCCATCTAGTAATGGTTCTTGCGGACGCACCGAATCATCCACTTGCCATATGCCACATCCCACTTTGGGACCAACAAGCCTTTATGCGAGATGGGCATCATTCTCTGCTACTGTATAAATACGACGAAACAACTATGCTACCTCGAGGTAGTTCGACTGGTAAAGGCGGATATCTTTCCTTACCATGGAATTCTCGTGGTAAGGATGATGTATCGAAGGACGAGGCCGTCACTGGACCGATTGCAACTCTTCGTATTCAGACATTTTTATGTAGTACAAAGTTCTCACAGGATAAAGTGCTCTTACGATTACTCAAGTGGAAGGATCAACCGCCGGGGGACCTGCAGCAGCTTCTACAACGACTAGTTTTTGTCTCGGAGATTGAGATCGTGAAGTTGCTCAGCGACGTATTTGATGCTATTTTTGGAATACTCGTTGAAAATACCGGGAACGATGATTATGAAGACCTTATCTTCAGTGCCCTAGTTACAGTTCTTTCCATTGTACATGATCGAAGATTCAACCTCGGCCCCTTGGTAGATCAATATGCCGAAACTAGATTTAATTACCCGTTCGCATCGCCTTGTCTCGTGAGGTCCTTTACTCGGTTACTTGCCAGTCCTTCTGATCCAGAAACTTCGAGGAAACTACGCGCTACATTTAAAGTCGTTCGACATATCTTGAAGTTCATCACTCATGCAAGAGGGCAGCAGAAAGCGAAGGAGGCTGACATTGGCATCACCCATTCCAGCTCAGGGTTCGGCCGCCAACTGCGCCAAATTTTCAAGGCACTCGAGGGAATGATGAGAACTACGGCACCCATTCTGGTGGGAAGTCAAACATTAGCTGTTCAACATTTCCATACTTGGCTACCAGAGCTTAGCGGCTTGCTTAGCAGGGAGCAGATTTTGCATATTGCCATCGACTTTATGGATTCATGTGCGTTGGTAAAGGGCAAACTTATATTGTATAAACTTGTTTTAATTATTAATTTTTCTCGAATGGATCTATTTTCTAGGCCTGAACACTTGAAAGCTCTTGCTACGAACACGTCCAAGTGGATTTTACCGCATTGGGGCAAAACAACAGAGGTTACTGAACAATGGAGGGAGCAAGTTCGACTTTGTTGCTCAATTTTGGCGATTCAAATGAAAAATTTGGGCTCTGAGATCCCTCAATACATACCTAAAATCATCGATTCGTATCTCGCATTACGTACGGGCGAAGTAAAGTCGCAAACTCGCTTGTCCTTACTCTTCCCCACAGCATACCCTTTTCCCAGCAAAGCAATAGCCGAAGAGGCCGAGTTCGATGAGGTGCTTGTTGAGCTTTCGGCAGTCTTGTCTGCCATCTCAAACTTACCTGCAGGCATGCAGCTTGAGCTTGCAGAAGGTGATATGGCGACTCTGATTGAAGATTTTCTGAACACACATTTAAGCATATTAGAATGTGAGGCATTTCCGCAAAATTGGTTAAGCGTTCGCATCTTCCATCACAAATCCACACTCAAGACACTCGAGTACCTGGCGGGCATTCTTCTGGACAGATTCTTACCTCATCCCGACGATGCGGAGAACTACAATACAGAATTATGGAAGGCATTCTTCACTACTTTACTCAAACTTATTGGTAGTGATTCTTTGGCACTGGAAACTTTCCCCGAGCAGAAACGACGAGCGGTGTGGAAAATTGCTGGCGATGTGCGCGAGACTGGTGCCGAGCTGTTGAGACGAACATGGGAGTTCACTGGTTGGGATACCACCCATGAGGAGCGACAGAAATACGCCTTGGCCAAGATGGGAGGTTACCAAGTCCAATACGTGCCTGCTTTAGTCGGACCCATCCTTGAGCTATGTCTTAGTGTGCATGAAGGTCTTCGGCGCGTGGCAGTAGAGGTCCTCCAAACCATGATTGTCAGTGAATGGACATTGAGTGAGGACTTGAGTGCTATTCAAACTGGAATCATCGAATGCCTGGATCACCTTTTTAAATCGAAGCCATTAACGGAAAGCATTTTACAAAAACTGTTCATAAATGAATTGTTCACCCTATTTGATAATTTGTCTCGAAACCCAGATGATCCGCTGTATAACGCGGTGAAAGGACTCATTGGCACCACCGATGAATTCCTTGATCTTCTCGTTGCAGTTCATAGCACGGATGTCACTGGTGAAGCTTCTCATATGATTCATCGTTTACGATTGATGGAGTTTCTCCGGGATATGCACAAGGAAGATATCTTCATTCGATACGTCCATCAACTTGCAGAATTTCAAACCAATGCTGGCAATCACACAGAAGCTGGACTTGCATTACGACTTCATGCCGATCTGTATCAATGGGATCCTTCGAAGCTACTACCACCGCTAGACGATCCAGATTTCCCAGCTCAATCTCATTTTGAACGAAAGGAGCGAATCTATTTCGATATGATTAAGAACTTTGAAGAGGGTGAAGCATGGAGTAGTGCCATAGCTGCGTACAAAGAGCTACAATATCAATACGAAGAGAATGTTTTCGACTTTTCTAAACTGGCTAGGACACAACGAGCAATTGCCACGATTTACGAATCTATTTCAAAGGCTGACAAAATTGTCCCAAAGTACTTCCGCGTCATCTATCGAGGAATGGGATTTCCACAAAGCTTGCGCGACAAGGAGTTTGTGTATGAAGGCTCTCCCAATGAAAAGACATCGGTATTCACAGATCGAATGCAAGAGCAACATCCTTCAGCCCAGATTGTTACTTCTGGCGATGTTGACGATGTGGAAGGACAATTCCTGCAGATTTCTGCTCTGAGCCCACATCGAGATATTGCTCATCACGTCTTCCAACGTTCTAAAGTTTCTCAAGTGGTCAGAGACTATCTCCTGTCAGCACATCCTCGTTATTTCTCTACCACGTCTCGTCGTACCACTTCGGGTCCAATAGGGGATCACTCCGCTGAGAAAATAATTTATACTACTGCAGATACATTTCCAACGATTTTACGTCGAAGTGAAATTATTTCCGTGGATAAGTATAAGCTTGATGCTCATCAGACAGCTTTGGAACGAATTATTCGCAAAACTCAAGAAATGGCAGCTGTGGAAAAGAGAATCGCAGATGGTGAAGATGATATTGCACCACTTCTTGTTGAAGCACTCAATATATCCGTCAATCCTACTTCTGAGTCTAGTGTAGCAAGGTATAGGGAACTGTTACCTAATCCTATTGATGATGAGGATGAGGACGGAGAGGGAGAAGTGATAGAGTTAAGCCCTGTAGAAAATGCGCTTAAGATTGCTTTGATTGATCATGCAATCATGATCAAAAGATGTCTAGCGATGTTTGCAAAATCACCTAATCTTCACAGTCAGGATGATTTACAACACTGTAAGATCTCATCTTCCTTATCTTCACCATGATTTGCTAACACGTAATACAGATTTCGAACAAACTTTCTCACCCGAACTCGCTTCACTTCAAATTCCCCAACCGCGTCTCTCAAATACTTCCCCTGGTCTTGTCCCAGGCTGGGCACTTTCACCGTCATCATCAAAAGGAGATCTATTGAATAACTCACAGGGTCATTTGACACTTCCTCATTCTCATTCTTTCACAAATGGTACTATTGATACCAGTATCCTCGATAGTCCCAACCAAACTCGCGCTACTGCTGCTTCTAAACGTATCAGTTCATTTCTAACTCGAAATGCAACTTTTCCCGAGCGAGAAAGCCGCCCTCTAAAGAAAGACAATCGTAAGAGCTTCTTTAGCGGAAATGGATTAAGTATGAATGGAATTTCTATAACCAACAAAGATCGCGGTCGAAAAGAAGAGAATGTAGATGGATTTCAAATCACCGAAGAACATGATTTGTCAAATGGTAATTTAGAAGATTCAAAGGAATGGGTAACACAGTCGGATCTTTCGGTTCAACCTCCACAGGGGAATTATACCACGAATAGTTTAGGTCAAGGAAGGAGAAGTAGTAGTTCTCAACGTAGACCAGATACTACAGGAACGGGAAGTAGCCAGGGTATGGCGGGACTGGGTATGGGCATGGGAATTGGAATGGGGAGTAATGGGACTGGTCTTGGAGGAAGTGTGAGGAAGAGATTTAGTATGTTGAGGTTAGGGAAGAAGGGGAGTACGGTAGGAAGTGGATTGAGTGGAGATGTGGTTGAAGAATAGAAATGAGGTTCTGGGTATGAGGGGAAATGAGAGGAAAAGATGAGAAAAAGAAAAGAAAAGAGATATTAATGATCTGAAGGAAATGAAGTGAGTGGAAGGAGAAATATGAGATTTTCAGGCTATAATCTCCAAAACATATCATAACATAACATACTTGTATATGTATGTTTCCTTCAGTATACCTGGATATTGTTTTCACGATAAATGCATAGAGGATGAAACATCTGAGTACCCCTCCCTCTATGCATTAAACTTTTCTTGCACATACATACATACATACATACATTTGCTTTCTTCAACTTACTTTACTTTTAAGATATCTTCTGGTTTTTGTTTTTCTCTTTTTTTCTCTTTTGTTAAGATTACCATTTGTTACCATTTGTTTTTGAGCGCTGGTGCTTATCTGGAGCGTATCTGGAGCTAGATAGGCAAGCAAGCAAGGAAAGAAAGAAGGAATGAATTAGTCGGAGGATACTTTTTGGTTTTTTGTGTCTGGGTATATGTTTTATTTATTTATTTGTAAACTTACAATTTTTTTTTGGCATTTGCATTTGTTTTTTCGATAGCGATAGCGGAGGATAGTGGAGGATTGAGTTGATATTGGAAGGAAGAAGAGGAATGGAAAGGAAAGGAATGGAGGAAGAGAGAAGAAGAGAAGAGAAGAGAAGAGAGAAGATAAAGATACCCACCCACCCACCTTGAGAAAGTGAAATTTTTTTTTTTTCATTATATACCTAGGTAGGTATGTATGTATGTATATATGTATATATGTACCTCTGACTCGGATTAATTGAGAATTAAATACCCTGGTTTTTTTAGATGGTAATGTTGTGTTGTGTTGTGTTGTGTTGTGTTATAAATATTATAAGAATTTGTTACGAGGTTTGCCGTCTAGATCACGTGGAAGTGCTCTAGGCTCTCGAGGTGATTTATAACTAGGCGTCAAGCAGGGACTTAAGTAATGACAATAATGATATGCAATTCGTAACTAATAGTAGAGTATACTAAATGATTGATCTTGAGCACGAAGCTCTATACAAAGGAAATCCATCTTGATTATATAGACCTTCATGCCTATGGCTAGTCAGGACCGCTGCGCGGTCCTGGACAGCCAGCGTTCCTCAGCGGTCCATAACGTGACTTTAATCACGTTACCTTGGTTTAGTCATGTGACGCGGCATAGAAGATAGCCGTTGTAACATGACCTTACACAGGGAATAGTGGGAAGCTTATTGGGTTTCTTGAGACCAGAAAGAGCATCAGATTGAATTGATTGATTCTCTAGCTAAGCAGTTAAGCTGCGAGCATATATTCAAAAAATGAAGGAATCAGGTTAGGTATTCAGCCTTCGGAATTAAAGTGCTTTGAAATCAAAATATTGAAAGCAAACAAACAGTATACCAAAAAGGAAAGAATGAATTAAAAGTTGAGTTTTGTTTGCTCCTTATATGCATCATGCAATATATATGCATATGCTGCCAAGATCCCAGGAGGTCAACAAAGCTGATAGGGCAGAACTGAGGCTATATTGGTCTTGTATATAAATCACTCATTATCTAAGTTCTACGGAAGTGCGAAGCTCTCCTACAGAGAGCTTCTCAATCTAGTCCTAATAGGACTAGTGCCCTGTGCACGTGCTACGCAGGAACCATTCACTTTAACAAAAAATTCAATTTCTTATTTTATATAAAGATTTAATAAGGATTTGAAAAAGTAAGCAAATCAAGGTTTTAGGTGAAAAACGTTATATTGTGCGGTAAGTAGAGTCCAGAACTCTTATTTATTATGCTTTTTTGGATGTTGGGTCAAAAGGCTCAAGTCATTACTCGTACATTTATTCATTCATTCATTCCTGTTAATCTGAAATACTTGCATGCGCAAATAGGAAATTATAAGTAAGGATAAGGATATCCAATTAAAATCAATCAATCAATCAATCAATCTTGTGGAATCTGGGTTCTTTAACTTTCCGGCCTATTATTAATATCCATCCATTCTTCAATTTATTCATTTCATTTAATTATCCATCTCATCGTTCGTTCGCTCGTGCGTTCATTTACCCTATTCATTTACTCATCCACCAATTCATCATCTACCAACCATTCCAATCCTCCGGAGCACCTGCACCTGCACCCACACCCGCACCCACATAATCCTCAGCAAGTCAAAGACCCATCTTCTTCCCCTTCCCCTTATCCCCCACTGCCTCCGGTTCATTCAACCCCCCATCCCAACAAATCTTCATAGTAGTCGGGAATGGGAATTCCGAGCCCATCATCTTATCCATGTAAACATAAAAACCACCTTCTCGAGGGATTTTCTTCATTTCACCCTGAGGACCTGGTGCTCTGCGAAGATTGTCGAGTCGTCCGATACATTTGAGCATAGCGGTGAGAGCGACGCGTGAAGCGTCGCCACCGAGACAAGCGTGTGGACCGACGCCGTAGACGAGGTAAGAGTCGATTGGTCGGTCTAGACGGACTTTCTTGGGTTCGGGGTAGATTTTGGGATCTTGGGCTAGGGAGACCTGGAATTTGTTAGAGATTTTTAGGTGCGTAGGTATTGGAAAGGAGACACATACAAAACTTGTGAAGACAGAGTCACCGGGCTTGCATTCGACTTTTCGTGATCCGTCGTTGATGGTGATATTTTGATGACATGTGCGATAAGCACCAAATGTGCCGTTCATTCCTTGACATTGTTAGCACTAGTTTGAATGAGAAAATTTGAATCTATTGCTCACTGATTCCTTCCAGAAGGTAATGTAAGAGGATATCATCTGCTTCAGGCGTATTGAGCTTCGCAAGACGATTAATTTCTGGAAGATGCTCCTTTCCATCACCAAGATAATAGTCGAGTACTTGACCAAAAACTTGTGCTTGGTTCGCCACCATGGCTCCTGCTGTAGGCAAAATTTGTGACCATCTATGCAATGTCAGTAAAAATAGTGAGTGATTAAAAGAACTACTAACACAGTCTCATGAACACCCAAACCAGCCTTCAACAAATGGCGCACCATGTGTACACCATAATCTTTGAGGGCATTATTTTCCTGCATGAAATTATCAACAATACCTGATACGAGGCTTGTCTTTGAAATAAAGTTCACATTCTGCTCGACTAGTTGACCGAGATCTTGTGTAACTGGAAGACCAGCGGCACGTAATGAGAAGGTTTTCGCTGGATCGACATCACCGAAAAATATTACAATGAAGATAACGGCTAAAACCATATACAACTCATGCTCGGTATATACGCCTTTAGGATTCTCTTCACTTTTGAGGGGAAGGTGGAAGATGTTCGAGGCAAAGTAAACATGAGCTAGTTTATGTTAGATAAAAATGACTGCGTTAGAATGAACGTGTAACTCACCGGAATTATCAATATCGCGAATGACATCAACCTGGTTAGTTGTGCCTCCAATATTATAAGACCATCTCTTGAGAAGTTTTGGGACAATACTTTCGTAATAGTTCTTCACACTTTCTTGCCATTTATCTTGGTAGAGGCATTCCTTCATTTGGTTGCGTCGCTCGGCAAAGAACTCGCCATCACCAGCCAACATAAAATTGGCCCCTAAGATTATATTAGTATTGGATTGTATGGCTTCTGAAACAATTTTAAATACCTGGTTTTCCCATGAGAAAAGCGAGACCTCTGCGCCAGTTGTCAACACCAAATACTTCTCCATTAGTGAGAACACTCTTGACTCCATCATAAGTGACAACATTCTTTCTCTCGGGAATCCTTGTTGGTTTCTCCCAGCTATAGTCATCTACGCGACCAAGTTTCTCCATGATCTTCTTGTTTTCCGTCGGGATTGTTAGAGGGTAATGAGCATAGATACTGTTAAATGAGAAGTGATTGGGGAAAGCTCGAATGAATAGTTTGTAAAATACGCAGCCTTGGTTGACGTTCAAATCATAATCGACTTCAGTAATTCCCCAGTTCGTGAGATTTGCTGCATGATAGTCGGTAGTATAAAATCTGTCTCCACGAACCAGTGTCACTGCGTCAGAAAGAATACTTCGACTGATTGTGTAGGTTGGTCCGATACCAACACCTGGATCCATCGGCTTCTTAGCATCCTCACAAACCAATCCAGCGTAAAGTTCGACCAAATCTGGATCATCGTATATAACCTTCAATTTCTCATAGACCGCTGGATCCGAGTTGATATCTGAGAACTTTTCATGTGGTATGAGACCAAAGTGTTTCCGGAATTCGTTTAGAGTTGCACACTTCCATGCACGAGCTTGCTCCATCCCGAGGATTTCAACAGCACGAAGTACTGCAGGAACGTTATTCGCTCCTGATGACCCAGCCAAATCTTCGATGCTCGCAGTCAATTCCTTAACGAGATCATCATCACTGAGCTTCCCATCGCTACCTCTCTTCATACCAGCAAAGTCTCTTTGTAGAGGATCGTCTGGAGTCATTGCTTCAAGCTTACCCAAGCCAATGAGGAGTTCCTGCATAGAAACTTCCTTGTGGCTCTTCCCAAAGATTTTCATGTACAAATCTTCGGACCACTTCTCGTCGCGTTGACTAATGCAGGAATGCCATCGGTATACGCTATAAAGAATCAGCTCTAAGTACAAAAAGACAGATGCTGAAAAAGCTTACAGATTGAATTCAGCAGCACATTGATTACCGACTCCAGCAACGGTTCCCGGCTTGCTATTTCTTTCCATTTCGATACGAGGATCGAGAGTCCTAATGTCGATTAGTCAAAAACATTTCCTACCTATATAAATGATACTGACCAGGTAGAATTGACCCTATTCAATCCAACAATTGTGCGTAGATAATCGAGCAGAATAATGTTGATGTAGAGGCCGCAAGTAATAAGACGTCCAGTCTGGAAGAGGTCATTGTCGTATTTCTTCCAGGCTGCTTGCTTTTTATCCTCAGGTAGATTATCCTTGGGGGGTGTAAAGCGTCCATTCTCATTGATTGTTGCCAATTGTTTGACCACATAGTTATGAAAACGGTTGAACATCTACACAGTTTTAGTTCCTGGCCTGTAATCTTCAGCGAGTCACTCACGATAAGGATGCATCCAACTCCTGGAGGGAAGCCTAATAATCTCTTTTCGGAGAAACAATCCGGCTTAAGCTCTCCATCCTTAAGAGTTCGCATATTATTCTGCTCATCCTGGTTGCTTCCATATAAAGGAGAAAGATCCAAATAAGAGGAGGTCATTGAAACATTAAAATCTTCGTGTGACGTGCGAAAGCAGTCATGAATGATAATACTTGCAATGTAGTAAAGCATACTGGAGACATTGTTTGGATGAGGCTTGAAACCACCATTCTCTCGACTCATGATCGTGTCGAATATAAGACCCGGATCTGGTTTTGGGTTTGGCTGAACGATCTTGGGAGTGACACTTCGGGCGTAAGCTGTACCTGCTTTTCCAATATCGGGAAACCTGATGTTATTATATCTAAGGACAAGGATTAGTGAGAAAGGTGTTGATAGTTCTCGTAATACACTCACGAGCCATCAGCTTGTCGATAATTGTACTTGTCACCAAGCATTGAAGCTGGTGGATGTTCCAAAGAGCCCCATAATTCATCAACCAGTACTTCGGTAAGCTTGACCCGAGTCTTGGAAGTTCCAGGAAGATTTGCAACCAACTTTTTAGTATTAGCTTTTGTGTGAACAAATTAAGGCCCAAGTTTACCTGGATGAGCCTTTCCATTAGCATGCTCTTGTCGTCCGTCAATTTTGAGGTTCCCAATTCTTGCTTCATGGTCAACTGCAATGTTTCCAAATCCTTGATTCTTAATGATTTGAGATCATCCAATAAACCCGTCTGTTCCTGTTTTGTGTCATAGGAGCCATCTCCAGTTTCGGTATTTAAAGGACGGTTGGCTGTGCTGATGACTTTCCCAAGTGATTCAAGAGTTCCCACAATACCAGCGCGTTTTACACTATGATCGGGACCGTCAAATGCTTGGGGATTAGAGCTTGCAGCACCACTGTTGGACTTTTTAGACACACCCATCGTCAAACGACGTCCCGTTGGGCTCGAGGAAGTCGCCCCATTTTCGGCAGTTGTGGGTGAAGATTTGGTGTTCTCCTTGTCCTTAGTCTTGAACACTGTCGAAAGACGTCTCATCATTGCGGTTAACTCGATGAAGTATTCTATGCTAGACTGTTAGTTCTTAAACGAAAATACAAATTGCATTTAACAAGTAATATAGAATTTATCGAGTTACTTATTGCTTACATGAAAATCAGTGATCAATTGTTACAATAGAGTAAACAATTTTGTCGCATGAGGTCAATTCAATTGGGATACTGTTGGAATATAAAGGTGGTGGTGATGTAGGAGAAAGAAAAAGGAAGAGGTCGGAAAGGATGAGAAGCTGAGCTACCTAGTAAGCCGCCGAGGAAAGGGACAAGGGAAGCTCTCCCCTCGATTTGATAGCTTCTGCCGTGTGCTACGATTGATGCAGGATAGTACATGTAAATCTTGAGCTTTTCGCATTGTCCAATAAATTTCGAGTACTTCAGCCCTTGAGGTCCTTGCTGTAGCTCAAGCAGTTTTGATGTAACTCTTCAATTTGATATTCATAAATTTTGATTGGGTCAGAATGGAGGGGATCGTCGACTCCGCTTCACATTCTCCAAACTTTTGCACATTGGGGTGAGACCTGGTTGTATGCAAAATCGCAGATTTGGACATGGCGTGCCATTTGAAATGCTTGTCACTCGACATATCATTCATTAAACTGGCAACACTATTAATATGCAAATTAATTGGTATATCAAAGTAACCCAACCGAATACAATGTAAATAGTACTTATTAATGCAAAATGTTGTAGCCTTATCATTCCTTCAATATCTAAATTGAGACCTGGGTGTCAATAAGAGTTATGACTTTTTTTCAAAGCGAAATCAAAATTGACATTTAACAGCATTAACGATGTTCGATTGCTTTATGATTCAGATCGTAAACAAAATCCGGGTGGTGGTGGTGGTGTCTTGAAGCCACTGAGATGTTTGATTGGTTTATTGATGAACACAACATTGTGCTCCCGACCCCGCAAGCTGCTATTCTGGATATTTTGGTTTAATTCTTCAAAAGGAGGCTGGGTTTGACGACTGATAAGAAGCTATAATAATAACTAATCCATAAAACAGAGATTCCCTTTGCTCAGCTTTTGCTGAATAGACGTGATAATGTCCTGCTAAGAATGAAAGTTTTGAGCCGCTGGGTATTGATCGACGCGTTCACCAGTTCTATTTGGAAAAGTCTCACTTGAGCACTGGCTACTGCGCAGCTAGATCACCCAGCTCAAACCCTTAAACTCTCAAATCTTCTCCCCATTTATCCGATGGACTGCATCGATTGAAAGCAGGGGCGGCTGAAGCTCATAACTTTCCGAATTCGTCACCTCGCATCTTGATTGAGGAGAAGATGGCTTGCAGGGCAAGGATTGTTGAGGGCTCAATGCAAGGTTGCACAGCTGGATGTGATAGATCTCATGATTCACTTAGTTGGACCAATCGGTAAGATATCCGCATGAACGACTGAGCACTGGCGGCAATGGATAAGGAGAAGGTGTGAATGAAGAAAATGAAGAATGGGGAGAAAATGTACGTATACTCATTATGGAGTGCGAATGGCTACTCGAGTCGTTCACCAGTAGGTCTTGGTCATGTGATGATGACGATCGGTGAATTTTTGGTGCATGTTTCCGTGCCCTGTCCTGTCCTATCAACAATTTTTAGAGCTTGAAGGCCAGCATGTACATGTTCAGCTCTTGTTATCTTTGATTTCAACAACTTTGATCAATTGCTTTATATTATACATTGTCAGATTTTGAAAGATGGCAGTCACTTTGAAGGTCACAAATCGCTGTAAGTTAATCCAATGTGCCATTGAATATCTCTTGATACTAACCTCAAAAGCCCCCAAAAATCCCATCAAACGTCTTCCTACCTCCATCGATATCGACGAAACAACTACAGTTCAAGATGTTAAAGAAAAATTGGCCAAACAAATTGGCGGTTGGGACCCCAATCGATTCGGTATCTTCGATCCAGAGCAAAAGAAGATCTTAAAAGACAGGAAAGCCTTCATTTCTCAACACAAAGAAGTCATTATTGGAAAGGAAATCTTGATCAAGGACTTAGGTACACATTCACAACCTGCTCTGCAAGTAATACACATCATACTTACATTGTAATCTATCACAGGCCCTCAACTAGGCTGGCGCACTGTATATATAATCGAATACCTCGGTCCAATCCTAATCCACCTTGGATTCCCGCTCCTTCGCCCTTACATATACTCCCAACCTGTCGGGCCCCTCTCCAATTCTCAGCTTCTTTCTATGACCCTCATAATTCTTCACTTCCTGAAACGCGAATATGAAACGATTTTCATCCACCGATTTTCCCTCTCTACAATGCCAGCCAGCAACATCTTCAAAAACTGCGCCCACTACTGGCTTCTTAGCGGTATCTACATCGCCTACTTCATATATGCCCCTTCATCCTACACCGCATTGTCATCACCGAAATTGGACTTTTTAAACATGGCTGGAGTGGCTCTTTACCTCTTCGGAGAGCTTTCAAACCTCAAAACCCATCTCACTCTCTCGAACCTTCGCTCGCCGGGCGGAACTGAGCGTGGAATTCCCCAAGGTTATGGTTTCTCTATGGTAACGTGCCCAAATTATTTCTTCGAGATGCTCGCATGGATCGGTATGATACTCGTGACAAAAAGTTTGAGTACGGTCATCTTCACTATTATCGGAACCGCACAAATGCAGCAGTGGGCTGTTAAGAAGGAAAAGCAATATCGTAGTGATTTCGGCGATAAGTATAAGAAAAAGAGAAGCGCTTTGTTTCCTACTCCAGGAGCCTTCGTTAAGGAACTTACTGGTTAAATGCACCGAGTGAATGAGGAAGTAAGTTTATTTACAGGATGAGGTTGTGTTTGCGAGGCTCTGCCACCAAGATCCCTAACGGATTTTCAGCATCGGCTTCGTAGGATCAAGGATGAGAAATGACTGTTGAGTGGGAACATCAAAAGTATATAATAGCGCACATTGCTTGCGTTGCTTCGATAATGCCAATAAATGTTGTGAATTCCCCTACCAAGTCCTGTCTCAACTTCGACTCCTGTGTATCGGTATTTGTTCTCTTGAACAACTACTATTAGCCCTGGAGCGCACACACTATCCATAAGAGACAAATGATTAGCAACGGCCGGCAAACACGAATCGCAAGTGCCAACGTTCTTGGCATGCCTGAGTAATGTCATGCGCGTGGGTGCTGAATGTATCGATCGATACATTTTTCCATAGAGCGAGTGCTCAGCATAGTATCAAGAATCGCTTCAGTACTCAGAATTGTTCTTCGAACAATACACTGCTCTCTGGAAAAGAAGCGGCGATAAATTATTCCAGACACGGTTTTAATGAAGTCGAACCAAGCTTCTTCGCTAAGACCTACTCGAATGGTGGTGGCAGATGTCGGCCATCTACGCAGAATTTTGTCTGAACAAAACTTCCAAAACCCTTCTATTCAAGAAATGAATGAGTATGGACTCTTGACCTGAAGTCGAATATTGTTCGTTTCACCTGTTTCCTTTCGCGTTTGGGTGGCTTTGACATTTCATGCGGCCAATCACACCCCGCGTTTGAGTTCTAAGCACAGCTTGTTTCATGCATACTCTGCCTACCAATTAACCTTATCTAACCTTATATTTTAAGTCAAGCTTTCTAGTGTATGTTTCTTAGCTAGAAAATTTTAGTAACAGTTGCTTCTTCTGTCATATGTGGAGGCGCGAGGGTTTACAAGTATACTTCAAACACCCAACCAGGTAGCAGCAATTAATTGGCACATTCGGATATCTACTCATCGTAAGTCTGTGCTACATTTGTGTACTCACGTTTACCACAGACGTCATTCCTCAGCACTGAAGCCTTCTAGCCCCAAGGCTTTAGCATGAAACATATCCTTGGTGTATCTTCCTTTTCTGCGGGGCGTTTCCGAGTTCCGCTTTGCCCGTGAGGTCTCCATTCGTACCTTATATCTTCCCTCTCCTTCCCTGATGTTGTTTCTTTGCTCGGTGATTTTGATAGTTATCCAGTCCTCTTTATATCTTTAATATTTGCAGAGCAGAATATAGCCAAGTAATAGTTGATCCTATTACTACTTCACTTCATAATAATGTATACACAATCACTTTTCTCTTTGGCGCTTCTTGCCTCCGGTGTCACTGCTCAGATGTCATTATCCCAAGCTATCGCAGCTAATAATGGAACTCTTTCGACCCTTTCCAGTAAGTCCTCCAGTATCCATTTAATCCTACTGTATTAATATCTGCAGTGCTCCTTGGGCAACAACCCGCACTTGCGGGTGCTCTCTCCAACACCTCATCAGGAATTACAGTACTAGCACCATCTAACGCCGCCTTTGCTAAATTCCTTGCAATGCCCGCAAACAAGGCTGCAGTTGGGCAAAGCGATATGGTCGCTGCAGTTCTTCAATATCATGTCTTGAATGGTACATTTCCAGCCAGCAAATTCACAAACGAGGCACAGTTCGTACCGACGCTTTTGACAAATGAGAGTTACACACAAGTTACGGGTGGACAAGTCGTACAGGTGGCTTTGAATGGTTCAAATGCCGTTATTACGACTGGATTGAAAGAGACAAGCACTACAACACAGACTGTAAGCGACGTTCCAACCCTGCCTATCCTTAAAATCTGCTGTTAGATCAAGCCTAACATATATATCAGGATATTATGTTCAATGGAGGTGTGATGCACATCATCGATACGGTCCTCACCATCCCTCTCTCTCCAGCCATGTCAGCTATCGACTCGAACCTTTTGTCTCTTGCAGGTGCCCTCACAAAGGCATCTCTAGTAGATCCCGTCAACTCCCTCAACGACGTTACTATTTTCGCTCCCTCCAATGATGCGTTTGAGAAAATAGGAGACACGGCTGCTGCTCTTCCCACCGAACAACTAAGTCAAATTCTCCAATATCATGTTCTTAATGGTACCGTATGTAGACCCTCCTCTTGCACAATTCTAAGATTCAAACTAATTCGGCCGCAGGTCGGTTACTCCACTCTTCTCACCACTGGTCTAGCCAACGAATCTTTCCCTACCCTCATGGGCGAATCTCTTACCGTCACCTCCGAAAACTCTAAAGTATTCATCAACAGTGCCCAAGTAGTCACCACTGACATTATTGTTTCCAATGGTGTCATGCACGTAATCGACAATGTCCTCAACCCCTCCAATGAAACTGTTGTTGAGAACCCTACTGCAGCTTCTCAACCTGTTGCATTTGAAGGGGCGACTAGTGCGGCCAGTCCGCCGTTCACCAGCGGGATTATGGCGACAACTACAGCACCTAGTGCTGCTATGGATACGAGTATCAAGACAGGGGCTGGAGATAAAATGGCGAATGGAGAACGCTTGGGAGGTGCAGTAGCCGCGGTAATGGGTGCGGCTATGTTGATTTTGTAGTTGGATGGGGATGATAAAAGGTCCAAGGATGGAGGATAGGACATGTGTTTCTTTACAATTTTATAGGAGATGGAATTTCAATAAGATATTACTACGGTCTCTTTTTTATGAGGAGTAATTCTTGTTCTCATGTCCGCTAATGCAAAATATAAAGAAGTCACAGGTCCTGCTATTAGATACTTCCATCCCGAGTGTTGAAAATGTGGTTCTTAATTCAGGGGGTGAATGAGATATCCTTGGGATTGTAATAAATCATACGGCATATTGGGATAATATTCCACAAAATCGACTGATACATAAAGGCTTACAGATGGCCATAATACTGTTATTTTAAAATTTATCTAGGATACCTATGATACAAAGGTCTAAAGATGAATATGAATGTGATGAGGTAAGAGATTCTTTTCAGCAGCACGGACAACTTCATGATTACATAATCACATCTGGTTTGGTCGCGAACGCGACAACGACATAGTACAGTATATCACAATTCGATTATTTACTTAGCAACGACAAAACTCACATCTTCTCATAAGCGCATAAATTTCAACCGCAATTTTAAATCTCTCAGATGATTCGCACATCATGGCCGAGTTCGAAATTGGCCAAACGGTCGAACTGGGAAATGGTGCTATAGGGACTATTCTTTACATTGGAACGGATCCAATTTTTGCTGCTGGAGATTGGATCGGAGTTGAATTGGAAGATGGAGGAGGAAAAAATGATGGTAGTGTCCTGGGGAAACGATATTTCCGGTGCGAAATGGGTCGTGGAATGTTCGTTCGTCCTTCGACTATAAGAATTATCGATCGACCTGCAGCACCCCCGAAACCACCTGCGCCTGCAAAGAAGCCTGGTCGACCCAGCAGTGTTGTTGTCCCGGCGGCACGAAGAACAAGCTCTGTTCCGGATAATGGTGTAGTTAAGAGGAAAAGCATGAATGCCCCTAGTCCAAGTCCCATGGCAAGGCACCCTTCAGGCCCTTCAGGCGGCCTGCGGGTATGTACATATTCATCTTCAGCTTATACATATTCTGATGCTATGTCTAGTCTCCTACAAAATCTCCTACAAAACAACTATACTCCACTGGCACTTCAGTTGCCTCAACCCCGAGAACTGGAACACCAGCGAATTCTCGGGCAGCTTCTGCCAGCGTTTCGAAACCACGTCCATCATCCGTGACTAGTCGAACATCAATGGGACCACCACCTCCACCTGCGGGACGAGGAAAACCATTAGCCGGGGGTAGCAATGTTGGAAATAGAATAGGGGCGCCTGCAACCAGGACGACAGGTACTCGTCCAACATCTTTGGCTCCAAAACGCACTCTTCGGCCTACTGCAGACCGAGTGCCATCAGGTTCTAGTCAAGTAAGTACCGGACACCTCAGTGACGGAACTCATGAAACGGTGGATGACGATAGACTTCTATCGCCGTCACTGAGGAGTGACACGGGTCAGCTATCTCCACAAGCTGTAAGTCCTGTATTATCTAGGACGGAGCGAGATGCTTCGCCAGGAGGCTCACCAGCGGCACCGCGGGGTGCGGCGAGCACGGCAGCTAGCAGAGAGATTGAAGATCTAAAAACCAAGCTTAGAGTAATGGAGAAAAAACGAATGGAGGATAGGGAGAAGCTAAAAGCTTTGGAAAATGTTCAGGCAGAAAAGGAGAAATTTGAAGGAATTATCCAAAAGTTACAAACAAAATATCAACCCCAGCAACAAGAAATAACAGACTTGCGAAAGCAGTTGAAAGAATTTGCTGCTCGGTTCGAGGAATCTGAAGCTATGCAAGCTGAACATGAGTCGATACTTGAAATGGCGACTTTAGATAGGGAGATGGCAGAAGAGACAGCCGAAGTTCTCAAGACTGAATTAGATGCCTTAAAACAAAAGACTGAAGAGTTGGAGCTTGAGGTCGAGGTACTGCGAGAAGAGAACACGGAATTAGGAGGGGAGATGAGTGCAGAAGAAAAGACTAGTCAAAGTTATTTGCAAATGGAGAGAAAGAACGAAAGATTGACGGAAGCCCTTCTGAGGCTCCGTGATTTGACACAACAAGCTGAGGCTGAGCTAAAAGACGAGATCAAGAGTTTACACGAGGATGTTCGGGAGCTTGGTAGTGTGAAGGAACATTATGATGTGGTTAAGGGAAAGCTTGCTCAATCAGAAGCAGTTATTGAAGATCTTCGCCAACAGCTCGATAATGCTCTAGGTGCTGAAGACATGATTGAGGAACTCACCGACCGAAACATGAGTATGAGTGAGCAGATTGAGGAACTTAAGGTCACAATTGAGGAACTCGAGAGTTTGAAAGAGCTGAATGATGAGCTCGAGATCAATCATGTTGAGACGGAGAAGGAAATGCAGGAAGAACTCGACTTCAAAGAAAGCATCATCAATGAACAAGCGAGACGAGCTGCCCAGCAAGATGAGACCTTGGATGATATGGAGTACACCTTGTCCAAGTTCCGTGAGCTAGTCACCAGTCTTCAAAGCGACTTGGAAGACATGAGAGCCTCACATGCCGTCACAGAAACAGAATCGGAACAATTGAACAATCGATCACGTGCAATGCAAGATTTGAATATGAAGCTCCAAGTTTCTGCTGCTAAAACACAAATCAAGACTATCGACCTGGAGTTACGTCGCTTGGATGCTCAAGAGGCGTCAGAACATTTGTTGATTGTTCAATTATTCTTGCCAGATCAATTTAATGCAGAAAGAGATTCGGTCTTAGCATTATTAAGATTCCGACGTGTAGCTTTCAAGGCTAATCTCTTGCATGGATTTGTTAAGGAGAGAGTGAACGGACAGCCATCTATCGGTCACGAGGATGACATATTTGCTGGCTGTGATGTTCTTGACAAACTCGTATGGGTTAGTGCCATGTGTGACCGTTTTATCAATGCCATCAGCCATTGCTCTATAGAGGAATTCGGTAAATATGAAGGCGCGCTCTATGAACTTGAACCTGTAGAAAGAGCACTTAACGGATGGATAGATGGCTTGAGACGGGATGAATTGAAGGAAAAGCAATGTGCTAGTGAATTGCAACGTACTATTGCTCTCATGTCTCATCTTGCAGAATTTCATCTCCGGGATGGCCTTGCTAATTACGCTGATGAGGTACATATGCGTACCCTGGTCATGCAGAGCCAGCTCGAAAATGCTGCTGCTGCAATCGCATCTACCAGAACGATGGTACAATTTATCATACCTAGTCAAGAGGAAGATGATGAACTCTTTCAACATTTCTCCAAGAAGACTGAAGCAGTTATCACTCAAACACGGAGTGCAAAAGTCGTTATTGGAAAAGCAGTCCGAGAAATTGAAGACTTGAAAGCTCGATCATTATCACTAATGCCTGATACCATTGAGTCGTTTGAGCAATGCGAAGTGGGGATTCAACAGCTTGCAGACTACACACGTCATGTAGGAAACGATTTATTCACATTATTACACGAAGAAGGTAGAGCTGAACCCTACACATATGTAGAGGTACAAAATGCTATCTATCAAACCACTTCCAACACTCTCTCGGCCGATGAATCTGATCTTTTCTCTACCTATGCTCACAAACTTAAACTTCTCAATAGCCAGCTCGTCGATCTCTCAACCTTAACATCTGATCTAGACATGACCCTAGAATTCGAGCTCGCAACAGCTCCTTGGATCCTCCGATCACAAGAACTGAAATCCTCCAAGACGGTAACTATAGACACTCAAGAAGAACTTCGTCGCCTCAAAGAAGATAACCACGAACGTCTCCGCCTCATCGCTTTGCGTGATCAAACCCTCGAAGAAGCATCCGTCAAGATAGAACTTTTGGAAAGTCGCATGAGAGATGCTACCAAGAAAAATGAACGTATCAACGAACTCGAGCGCAGAATTGAGATTGCCAAAAACCGGGAAACAGAACTCACCGAAGCAATCGAGCTTCAAAACAAAGAATTATCAACCATGGAAGCTGATCGCGAGAAGTGGAAGAAAATTGCCGATGAAAGTAAGGCATTGGGTGAAGTTGTATCAGGTTCTAAAGCAGGCCAAGAACGTGCTGTCGCTACCGCACGAGAAATGGATGCTCTTAAAACCGAAATTGCTAGTCTTCAAGCTGCAGTTCGATATCTTCGCGAAGATAATCGTCGTGTTAAACTTTCGGAACGGGAAAATATGTCTTGGTTGGATGAACCATTAATTAAACCCAAATCGATAGAAGAACAAAGGAAAGCATTAGTAATTGCAGAAGGTCAAGATGTCCTCAGCGAACTGTTGACATTGGCCACGGGAGAAAATTCGAGAATTTATGATCTAGGTGCTATGCAGAAGGATAGAGGGAAGTGGAGACCCGCGAAGAGTACACCAGGATACTGGGTCGCGAGACAGAGAGAAGGGTATGAGGATTGGAGGGCTTGGAATGAGGAGGTGCTTAGGAAGGGGAGAGTGTTGGGGGAGAGGGAGGGTACTGCTGGGAGGGGTGTAGGAACTGGGAGGAAGGGTTTGAGGAAAATTGGGGATAGGGAGGTTGTGGCGAAAGTGGATTTGAGGTGGAAGGAATTAGAGGGGAAGGGAGCGGGTAAGGGGAGAGAGGCGGAGATTGTAGAGGCGGGGGAGTGGGAGGGGGTTAGGAGGGAGTGGGGGTTTGTTTGAGAGGGGTTTGGGTTTATGGTTGAGATGGGATGGGATGTGATGAGATGAGACGAGATGATTAGAGAAAGTAGAGGATGATAAGAATGATGAGGATAATGATATACCCTATACTTTTGTCTATCTATTATTGTTGTATTGATATAGAATAGATAACTAATATACTCAATTAATTATCAATTACTGATTACTGATTATCAACTCATAACGCCGGCCTGCCGCTCAAGAAACTCATACCGTTGACATTGCGACTCCAGCGACCACTAACCCTAAGTCGACTACGACTACTACTACTAACCCAGCGGTTGTTGACGACCCTGGCGATCTCCACATCTAAATAAGAGTAGACTACAAACCATTGCTTGTCGTCGAAGCCGGGAGCACGAGATCGAAAGAATACTATTTCAGGAACGGAATCACCACCTCTTTTTTTGGTTAATGCTTGACTAGTTTGTTTGGATAGAGCATGCAATAATTAGATCTAGACTGTTTTTGCTTTGATATAAGCTCAAAGCTGATTAAGCGAGGGTCCACCAGTCTGTTTGCTTGAGGTTTCGCGTACTGCACACTATATATAGTCTCTTGTTATATAGTGAAGTGAAGTGAAGGGTTATTAGTTTGCACTCTCTATCTTAACCTTATTATTAGTGTGCTGCTTTCATTAAATGTCTTGAAGTATTGTAGCTGGTTTTGTCTTGTGCCCTGGAAATATGTATGGTGCCCGTAGTGTTAGAACTTAGTGCTTGCTAATATTTCAAAATGCTTATAATATTAGGTATTTATACTACGTCTTGACATTCTTTTCCTAAGCGCAGCAACGTCCACGGACTACATAAGCTACGTCACAGCTTGTGCTGCACCTTCTGCCTTTCTATGATTAGAAGAGAATTGAATTAGTCGAATTACAATACGTGATCATTAATATATGGAGCTATCAAATCATGAAAGTTAATTATATTAGTTATTAACTATGACTAAAAAAAATCCTCCAATCCCAAGCCAGCAAGACTCCAGAAAAAAACAGAGATCCCAAGCTCCAACGACCAATCAGTTGGCACCGCAGTGCACCTTGATCAAACTTTGGAAACAGACTCAATAACCGTTTGGAGCCATCTGGAGGGTGCCGTGTGTGGTGTACTCACGCCACCAATCGCGCTGTTTGGCGTAGAGGCTCGGCTTCCAGAGATCGTCGACCGTGGATCCGTCGGCGGCGACGCTGAACTGGACGTGGAGCTTTCCGAGCTCCGTGACGACATATTTCCAAACGGCATTTTAATCACCACCATCGGCGATGTCGTCGGCTGTACTCCTCAATTCCGCGATGATCTTGAGGTCCTCCCGAAGTTGCTCGCGGTCGGGAACCAGCATAGGCTTTTCGAGTTGGTTTGTACCGAACCAATGGAAAAATGCCTGAGCCTAGCCGTCGATGACTGCAATATAATTAACATTAGTAAATGCTAAAAGTTATGTGCGGAAAGGCATATACTTGCCATAACCTCTCAGGAGGTGTTCAAAGAGGATTTTATGGGGCTAGTGCCTTGAAATAAAGGCGTAGGATGTGCTGAGGCGGGGGGAGGGAGGATGACGACGCGTCATCGTCGCAGTCGTCGTCATCATCATCTATATTAAAAATTTCGCGGACTATTTGAAGGTCCGGGGAGGGGGTAGCAGGAGCAGGGGCTGCGACAACAGGAACAGCTGGGGCGGCAGGAGCAATTCCAGCTGTACATGCAATTATAGCAGCAGCAGCAAGGGATGAGCTTTAATTTGTGGGGGTGATTGATTTTTGTCAGACATTATAAGGCAAAGTGAGGTATTCACGATAAGATTTTAGTAGTAAAAGATGAAGCGGCGAAGCTTTGGGTTGTAAAGAGAAAGAAAAGAAGAATCGGGAAGAGAGGGAGATTCTACTAATTACTCGATATTTTACTATACTTGCTTTCTCCCAGGCTACAATAGGTCACCCACCAAGAGTTATCTTCCGTGAGGGGTTCAGACCCTGTGTCTCGCCTGTGGGCATAGAATATCTCAACAAGACCGAAGATGTGAACCTCCATCTACGCAGATATATCAACGATCACGTTAATTCCATCTTAATTTCTACTACTAGACCTATTTTGAAAAATCCACTGTTATGTTTTGGCAACTGATAAATATCAATGGCAAATACCGATACGGGGTATTCGCGTATGGTGGTATCAATATCCTTGCCACTTTTGAAATCCAGAGAGAGGTCATGTAGCCCTACCAACATGAGATCCCATTTATCGAAGGATCAGACCCGAACTGATCCGTACAGGAAATCATGAGGAAGAGCATCCAACTGACAGCAAGATCCTGATAAACCACGTCTTCTAAAGATGCCATTTCAATTTTCTCGCTCAATGCTTCGAGCTTTAATTTTCACAAGTAATTCTCCAGCACGTGGAGCTAAATGGCCTGTCTGGTTTGCCCAGTCGCATGATCGAGAGTCTAGCTCCATATCGAATTCCCATAAAAGATGAGCAAGGAATAGTCTTGAGACAGTCATCGAGATCCTATACACTAATTATTAGATCTCGTAGATATGATTAGGAGGCAAACTGACTCTTTTCCTACACATACACTTGCACCATAGCCGAATGGGTGAAAAAATTCTTTCTTATTATCTGCATAGTCTTCTCCAAGCCATCTTTCGGGTATGAAGCTTTCAGCATTCTCAAAATTCCGATCGCTATGGTAAGTGGCCCAGTGATGCACACCAACAATAACACCAGGCGGCACATGAGTCCCGCAGATGGTGGTGCCGCCATCGGGAACTATTCTGGGAACCATTAGCAATGGTGCCGGATATATCCTCCTAACCTCGTCCATAAAGCAATGCATGTATTTCAACTCTTTCCGTTGCGTTGATTCGGCCGTGATATCATTTTTGGAAGAAAAAGATTTCCGAACAAGTGCAGAGACTTTGGAGAGCTCTAAAGGGTTGGACAGCAAGTAATAAACTGATGCTGTTAGGAATGCTCTTGAAGTTTCCGGAAGTCCAAGAACAAGCAACGATACATTTCCAAAGATGTAAGTGGTGTCAATCTGCGCCGGATTTTGCCCAGCTAGCATATGCGACACTGTTTGAATTTTAACGAAGTAAATATGGCTTGTGAATGTTCATAAACTAACCGAAGTCTGTATTGATGCTGCCTTTTTCCAAGCGATCAACAAGCTTAGGCCCCAGAAAATTCACTTTTCTCAACATGTTAGGTAGAATTTGGCCCAAAACGGACTGAATAAAGGATGCAACTGGTGTAGGTAGGATCCTCATAAATTCCACGAAAATCTCTAGGACGTATACACCCTTTTCCATTCGGTGGAGGTAAGGGTGGAGGCGGTTTCCGCACTCAAGAGCTCCAAAATCGCGACCCATAGCAATCTTGCCACTCAAATCCAGCAGGAAATTGCCGATCCATTTATCGAGTGGAATGTTCTCCCCTGTTTCTTCGAAACCTTTGAGGTGTTTGAGAGTATCGTTGATGCATGAAACTATAACAGGTTGTTGTTGTTCAAACAAGACTTTCCGTGATAAAGCGTATCTCATAATCCGCCTTTGATCCTTGTAGGAATCTAGCCTAGCATCAAGCTGGTTAATCAATATTAGCACTATCATAGAGACTTGAACTGTTTATTTCATACCAGCGAGCCAGTGTCCAGAAACAATGCTCCGTAAAAAGTAGGATCTTTATGAAACGTCTCCGAGCTTGCCTCGTGTCCAGCGGTGTTCGAGGAAACGACACCTGGACGAAGAAGTGATATTAGCATTTGAACAGCAGAGTCAGAGGAATACATAATTTCCATTTACCATAAATAGGCTGAATTGCTGCTGGTATGTTGTATGAGATCTCATTCGGCGCCACTCTAACAACATGCCCGTAGATGTCGTGAAGGGTTTTGATATCCTTATACAAACACCCTCTGACGACTCGACTAAAATACCAAAGCCTAGAGATTCGACAGTACCAAGAGCCAGGATAAGAGCACAGAGGGTGAAAATGCAGATTGTATACAAGCCTCGAAAATATTACTACGACCTAAAAATCATTAAAATAGGGCTTGTGAAGAAATTTTGCGATTAGAGGAAATACCAATAACCCAACGCCCGATGCAATACTTAGTTGAAGCACCATATTAGATTGCAAGATGACTTTGTAGCATATGTTCTCTGGTGGTCAATGTTGATTTGAGGTTCTTATATTACAGTCTCCAGAAACCGATGCTGCAATTTCGACTTTTTAAGAAAAATACACATGGAGTCTGCTGAAGCTTCATGTGTTACAAAGAAAGGCACAAGCCAATGATCCATTTATTGATGCTTTTCAGGTAAGACAAAAGCTTGCCAATGTTCGGGAAAAAGCAACTAGCTTAGAAAACTGTAGACTTATAGTTTTAATATAATTCGCGACGTACGTATATGTGAAGGTTGGGTTGTTGATGGATAATATTAATTGATCCAGTGCTGATACATCCTTTTTCACTTATAAACAATACCCAGAATTAAAGTCGTCTTTTGTTCGTTGGTTCTCGATGTAATTACCTGGTGTATACCCGATTTTCCCCTTTCCTGACATAATCATCTCAGGATGAGAAATCTGTCACAGTATATTGATTTCGGGGTATAGCATACCAAGAACAAGAAAGCTCTATGTGTTACAAAAAAGAGCATGTGGCATTAATATATCACAGAAGCCTGAAAATACGGATTTAGAAAGTAAATAAGCGGCTCGGAATGGAATAGATGAGCTTTAAATAATGCATTTTCGTGAGGTAATTTAAACATATTAACAACGGAATATGCCATCAAAAACTTCATGTGATATAAGAAAAGCACAAGACAGAATGTGTTCCCTGGTGCATTTCAAGTGTCACCTACTACGATATGGAAAGAAGATAGTCACTCAAACACCGATAATCATTAATTTCGCAGACATGGTTCAATACGTATAATGCTTTTGCATAATGCGTGTGTGGAATAAACTTCCCTTGGCATATAATCCCACCTGCACAAAGTTACACTTCTTCGAACTCCGATTTCGTGTTCACAAATGTCATTCGAGGTTGGAAGACAATATATCTTTCTCCCTTTTATATCAGCTTAGAAGTGTGAGATGGCCCAGACCTTACGTTTCAAAACACATACAGTCAAGTTCCATCCATTGACCAATTTTTCTTCAAGCACTGCAAAAGTAATCGTTGTCGTCACACACAAACTATGGCTGAGCCAAACGGCATTTATAACCCAGACAATGACCTGGAGTTAGTCGAATATCTCTATTCAAAGCCCGTCGATGCTGAAAAGTATTGCCGAGATGATTATTTTTCTCATCTGACTCCTCGCATCAGCATTGATGAAGAAGCTACTGATCAAGGATGTATCGACTGCGAGAATGACTTCAAAGCAGCTGGTGCTCATTATCTGACAGTGGGATCAAGGGATCCCATCTCAGGAAATTGGATTGCATTAATGTTTCCTGAAATTAGACCAGACCGTCTTCGAAGTATATCCTATTTGATGGAATTAGGTGCGCTCTACGATGGTAAGAGCAACTTTATTTCTCTGTTATTGTTTTAATTGTATAACTATATACAGGGTAGATCTAATATCTAATTTGGCAGATCTTATCGAAAATGCGGCATCCGCAGAGCAGGTAAGCTGGGAAAACATCATCCCAGGATCTTCTATTCTAATGATTTCAAGTACGATCAAATCAACCATAGCACTGCGGATTATATGACAGGAAAAAGTGACTCGGAAAATGGAAATAGTATGGTAAAGGCGATGAAGGCACGAGCAGTCCTTCAAGTTTTGGAATTGGACGAAGTTCGTGGCAAACTAGTTATTGAAAAATACGCGAGATTTGTCAATGTTAGCCACGAAGCGCGATCGGAATTCAAAACACTCGATGAGTACATGGATCTTAGAGCTGTAGATCTCGGCATGCTGTATGTTGATACACTAAGAAACTTATATCACACAGCAGCTAACTTTCTTACCTTATAGTTGTTTCTGGGAGACTTACAAGTTTGGAGCAGATATCTTCTTGACAGCGGAAGAGAACAAATCTGTGGAATTGCTCGAGAAGCTGGTTTCAAAGAGTGTTACGCTCCTTAATGATTATTTTTCATGGGATAAAGAGTATGCCAACTATATTAGGCGGGAAAATCCCCAGCCTCTTGTGAACTGCGTGCAGCTTTTCATGAACTGGAGATCCGTAGATGTTTTCGAGGCGAAGAAATTGGTTCGCGAAGAAATATTTTTGAACGAGGAGCGCTTCTGCCGTACCAGAGCTGAGTACGTTTTGAAGCATTCGCCAGGGCCACAATTACGCCGCTGGCTTAAGTTACTGGAGTACTGCATTGCGGGGAACGCTCTCTGGCACACGACAACAATGCGATACAGAGAATGGAAGCTACCATCCTCGGCAAACCAAATATCCAAATGTATCCTTGATGAAGACCAAAATCTCGTTGATGCGCATGGGGCAATAGCCGATGAAAAGACTGTAACGCAGTCAGTCGAAGACAACAGCGACGTATTATTGACACGGAAGGAACCTGTTTATACTGTTTTCAGTAGCGATACAATGAATTCTGCCTACAGTAGTTCCAGCATTTTGTCAGAAGTCTCTGAGGTCATCAGCGAAAACACAGGTAGTATCTGTCAGCCCAACGGCATAGAGAAGAAAATAAAGAACTCTCGTACCTTGCCAAACTCCAGCCATCAAAGCCTCAATGCAGATTCTACAGTCATACTTGATAAGACTACGGCAGAACACACCCGCGATAGGTCTATTTCCTGCCGTAATTCTGAGCTATCACTAAATGACTCGGTTGCCCAGAAATCAGACTTCAACTTAGCCTCGGAGTTGGCTCTACCCAGGCTCGATAATCAGGTAAGGCGGATGTTTCACTTTAATTGGAAGCGTGCTAAAGTTGTGCAGTTTGTTCGGGAGCCCTACAATTACCTGGCATCTCTTCCTTCAAAAGGGGTGAGAGATGACTTAATAGATGGTCTAAACAACTGGTTCTTCGTTCCGCGAGGCGCTCTCACAACTATCCGAGAATTGATAAAGACTCTAAATAATGTCTCACTTATGTAAGTCCATCCAAATCCCCTCACACAAAGATTAGCAGAAGTCATTTATACAAAATCGTAAATACAGGCTCGATGACATCGAAGATGAAACCACCATCAGACGAGGATACCCCGCGACTCATGTCGTCTTCGGTGTCAGCCAAACTCTCAACTCGGTAAACTACATGTACGTAGAGTGCTTGCGACTGGCATTATCACTGTCGAGACGGTCAGTGGAATGCTTTATTCGTGAAATGCAACACCTCCACATTGGACAAAGCTACGACCTTCATTGGACCCATCATTGCCAAGCTCCGACAAATGATGAATACAACAAACATGCTGAGGATAGTAAGTTCAATCCCTCTGTTTTCAATGGTCAAACAAAGGATAGAAGACTGATATGCTTAATAGAAACAGGGGGACTCTTCCGAATGGCAGCTGAAATGATGCTAATAGAGGGAAGAAAAAACCGGTGAGTCTGTCTAGCTTGAGATATCGGTAGCCATTAACTAAAAGGAAACTTTAGCGATATATCAGTTGAGGCCCTTATGACCCTGTTCGGTCGGTACTATCAGATCCAAGATGACTACAAGGACCTCCTTCCTGCAGTCTCAAACACACCATCATGCACCGACTTAGACCAAGGCAATTTTTCCCTCCCTATAATCCATGCCATACGACGACAATCCGAGAAAGGTAGTACAGAACTGCTCAGCATCCTTCAATCTCGAGCGAAGACGGGTGGGATATCTGCTGAAATGAAGAAGCTCGTATTGTCAAGATTGGAAGAAGCAGGGAGTTTGGAATTCACCAAGACTACACTTAGAAAATTGCACTCGGGTTTGAAGAAGAACCTGAATGGCCTGGAAGAGAATGCTGGGGTGAATTGGATCTTGAGACTGTTGCTTCATCGTTTGAAACTCTGAGCTGTTTTTGTTTATTTTTCAATGGCATTTGATGAGGAATATATTTTGCGGGATGTGTTTTGCAGGTTGATTGATGTATTCTTTTCTACCCAAGGTACTTACTTGGCCTGATACCCTTCAACCTTAACACTGTTACTACCCGATAATCGAGTAAAGCTATGAAGTAGACATGAGAGTAATATTAATGGAGGAGTAAGATGGTTACGGTTGGCCACGTAGCGTAACATCCCACTTAAGTATTCAAAACACTTTAATATTTGAAAAAATAAAATAAAACAAAAATAAAAAAATAAAATTAATATATTCGACATACATTATTTGTATAATTATATATTATAAAGATATTCCAAAAACACAATACAACAATATAAGATAATAAAAAGATAAAACGATTTAAAAAAACACAAATCAAAAGATACAATCTAGCATCAAAAAATCCAAAAATTCAAAAGAGGGATATCATTTATTCTCCATTCTTCCCTCTCCCACTCTCCCCCCTCACCCCCTCGCTAAAACAAAATTCAACATACACCTATATAAAACCTCAACTCAAGTATTCTACCTATCCATATATCACACAACAAAACAAACAACACTATTCCCCCAATACTGTTCCCCCAATGCAGATACGATATTAATACAGTATCAATCAATACCATGAGTGTCAATGTCAATGCAATACTTAAAGTACCTAAAGGACCTAAAGTATTCTTATTTATTCTTATTCCTTCCTTCCTTTCATACTATTTATTCATACCATTCTACTCCATCCATCCACCCAGCTAGCTAGCTAGCAAAGAAAACAAGAAAACAAGCTTCTACAGAAAAGAAAGCATTTTCTACTAAAATTCTTTCAATCAACTCATCCTTTCATCCATTCATCCATTCATGCATGTATGCACGCGATCAACACGCCAAAAAAAGAAGTTCAAAGCATCGGTATCATTTCAAGAAGAACTGTACAAGTCGTATTTAATAATTTTGATATTTGATATTTGATATTTTACAGCGATATTAATCGCCCAATGCTTTCCTCAAATCCGTCCATTTCCGATTCAAAGCTTCATGAGCTGCATTAATCTATAAGATTGATTAGTACTTTTCTTCATTTGGTATAAAATGGGAATGTCAATTTACCTCGGCGTATTTCATCTTTGTTTCCACCAAATTTTGTTCCATTTCATTCATTTCATCCTCGAGTTTTTGATTTTCTTCATGTACTTCTTGATTTCTCTTCATTAATCGATCCATCTCACTCTGTAATTTTGCTTCGATTTCGTCAGGTTGCTTTTCAATCACATTTTTTAACTCCTTAACTTGTTCCCTCAAAGTCTCGATCTCTTCATGAATTTCCTGATTTTCGACTTTAGTACGAACAAGCTCAGTAGCCAAGGCCGCGTGCTCGGTATCATGAGATTCGACTCTTTCTTCTAGACGTCGAACTTTGTGTGTGAGAGAGATATTCGTCAATTTAAGATTTTCTAACTCTGCTTCTCGTTCTTTCTCCAATTTGGTTTTTTCTTCCCATTCTAATGCGTACGTTTCTAACATCTTTGGAGTTATCTTGACAGCACAAGCATCTTGAATCATATGATCCGCTCGATAAACTTCTTTATCAATACTCGCACCAGAATTTCCGAAGAAACCATTTTCCAGTATTGATCCTGCTGAAGGAGAAGCATCAATATAAACATCGAAAAGTCGATCCTTAAGGAATGTGGTTAATGCAGCCATATCAGTGAGTGTAAGAAGGTGGGCCGCATTCTTTTGCATGAGTACGATGCCAAATTTAAGAATTGCCTCAAGACCTTCGCTAAGAATGAGATCATAAATTCGAAGCACAAGTTGTAATGGGAAACGATAGGCGAAAAGAGTAAGGAACCATTGTGTTGCGTATAAATGAGGTGTAACTTGACGTCGATGGAGGTGGCAATACAACGCCGGTTCGAAATCTTCTAATAATCTCTCGAATTGATAAAGATGCTTATGAAGACCTGGCATATCCTGAATAAAAAGATCTCTAAGGTGATACTGATTCATAAGTCGTACTAATAGACAGAATGCTTCTTCTTCAGGCATCTATTGAACGTTAGAAATTACTTGAAAATGGAACTCTGGTAACTTACGTTAAACAGCAGAGGCATAACTAAAAAGTTCATGCCTTGCGCGTAGCCAACACCTTCATCATAAAGAGCATATGCCTTGCATAAACCGAATAATCCATCTTGAAGTCCAGCACTTGCAGCAAATTTTGAATAACTCGTTCGAGCACCCAAGTCTCGCTTGATGGCTCTCTCGAGTTTTGTCAGAGCCGCTGCATCTTCCTTCGCTTTCTTTTTCTTCTCAGCTAACGACAATGCTACATCTTTCTCGCTCGGCGGAGAGGGAGATCTCATTCCATTGGTGACAGTAGTTGCCGGGGTAGATTTCTCGGAATGTATCGACGATGCCGATGAAACCACAGTCTCCTTTATTGATCCATTGCTTTGTACTCCGCTAGATGTACTCATCCTGTCCTTGTCCTTGTCTGTACCTCGATTTACCAAGCTTCTATAGAGAACCTCGAGCTCTTCGTTCTTACTTTCTGCCAAAACTTGCCATACCACACCTCTGATAGCATGCGGTATACCAGTTGCGATAGCTTGATTGAGTTCTTCTGCACTTGTCCTTGCTACCGCGGCTGGCCCTTCGTACACAACATTCTGCCACAAATCCCAGTCGACCGGTGCTTCTGGATCACCCATCGCAGAAGGGCCCGCAGAAACCCCAGACGCCGTACCTGGGGCCAATGCTGGATTGACACTGACTGGGTTATGAGTCGCAGGTGGAACACCTCCGTTGGGTGAGTGGTCTTTGTCGTCGTGAGAGCCTGTAAAGCCCATACCAAGAGTTGTACTCTGTCTAATGAGTCCTCCAAATGCTATATTGCCTGCCTCGTCCTGTTCTTCAGGCAACTCTGTAATACCGGCCTCCTCACGCATTCTCACGAGCTTAAATCTGTCCCGCAGACTATTCCTCCCAGGCCGTCTGACCCCATTCGTGGTATCTGTTTCATTGCCCTCCTCCAATTTATTTAGCATCATTTCTGAACTGCTGCCGACGGTTGCTATCGAGGAAGCGGTATGTCTTCGCTCATTCGCATGAGGTGAGGGCAATGGTGACGATTTTACGTTCTCTTTTGGAGCCGAGGTATTTCTTGAAAGCCATGAAAATGGACTAGTTAATTTTCTTGTAACGGGTGCGGGCGCAGGAAGATTCGCAGGCGCGGGAGCAGGAGGAGGGGGTGGTGGCGGTGAGAATGGCACATCTGGAAGGATTCCAGAAAGACCTTGCATTGGAGTAATTATGCTGGGTTTTGGTGGTAATTCGGGTGGTTGATCAGGTGTCATTTCCTCTGGTGCTACTACAAACTTGTGTATCAGTACTGAGTTTTCAAACTATCAAATAATCGAGACGGGTAGCTACCTTTCGAAAGTGGAGGAGGTGGTGGAGGTGAACCAAAATCATCACCGTCTTCGAGATTTACATTATGGAGGGAAGAAGCGGACATGCGATGGGATGTCAAAAGGGGGGATTTAGGTGGTGGAATATCGGATTCTAATTGTTCGTCATTCGTTTCGCCATTTGATTCTGGAAGTGGTACTGTTGGGACCGATGGAATATCGCTACTGATATCTTGTGTACTGCTCTTAATAGATGATGATCTTCGTTTCGTCAAAGACCTAGTTCTCTCAATTGGGGAAGTAGGAGTATCTGTGAGGTCTTCAACATCGTTGGCATCTTCGAACATGTCCTACAAATAAGGGTGAAAGTTAGTAAATGGTTGGTTGCAGTTCAATGCAGGTAGATAGCTGTTGTGCTACTTTGACGGAAGACAGGACACATAGGGGAATGAAAGTAAATGAAGGATATAAACGAACACTCTCATGATCCGAACTCTGCTCAACCCTCTTCTCTGTTTCTTCCATTATTGAATCTTTTTCTGCATCGGAATGATGCTGTTGATGCTCGTGATCAGACATCTTTTCATTAAAATTAAGAGAAGAATATATGTTGAGGGAAGGAGATTCTCGTAGTTTTGAGGGTAGGTAGGTAGGTAGGTAGGTATGTAGTGAGTGAGTGGTCTGGTTGAAGTAGTTTAATGGGAAGGTACGGTATTCGAGGCCATCAAAAGATGTAAAGAGAGGATCAAGTTGGTGGTAGATAGAGTTAAGGTGAGATCTAAATCCAAATGCGGACGATTTGTATTCCTTTTTTAGGGAAGTGAGCTCGATGTGTGAGAGCAATGCGTAGGAAGAGGTTCGTGTACAATATCAAGAGGGGGACCGGTGGATTGTACGAGAGTAAAATGTGGAGTTTCTTTTTGGAGTTAATTTAAAGACTTCAGAAACAGAATGTAAAGGTATAAAAGGGAATTTATGACTTGAATCATATAAGTCATGTCTATCTTTGTTGATTCATAGCATTTTTCTTCTTTAGAGTTGAAGGAGTTTCTGGTTGGTTATTGAATTTGTGGTGGTGACTGACAATCCTATACCAGTACCAGCCAGTACTGGTCGGTCGGTGTTCCTTTCGTCTGATGTGAAAGTGTGAAAGTATGAAAGTATGCAAGTACCCGAGTCCCAAAGTCCCAAAGTCCCAAAGTACCGGTGACACAAGATTTGATCGCCTTCGGAGATTTATTCTCCTTTGTCGCTAATGAATAAAAAAATGGGAGAGGGCGGGGCAGGGGAAAGATATTCTGGATAATATTTTCTAAGGATGTAGGAATGTGGAATTGATAGGAGTTTTATGAATAGATTGACCTTCGTACCTTCATACCTGCCTTCATATGTAATGTACTCATATGTAGATATACCTATATACATGAATTTAGGAGATGGCAGGATTTAGAGACACATATCTTTCACTTACTTCGTCCATTTCAACTTAAACTCAATGCAACAAACAAGGGTTAAAAACGGAGGCTACCACTTTTAATTGATGCATAACTTACTTAATTCACATTTCTCCCAAGATCTAACCATGTTACTTAGCCACATAACGACATCTTTCAGGGGATAATCTAGCCTGTTCCGTGTCTAGTATCGACGTTAGTGAATCAGTTTGACAGGTTCCATTCATTCTATAGGGGATTCCTTGGTCGGGGGGTTTAGCTTGGGATCTTCCTTATGAAACTTTGAGCTTTTTCTTTCTCTATACGTACAACTTCTTTTGTGTTTCATGATTCCTCTCCAAGGACCTCGAAGGCGGCTAATCATGTCATTTTGGCACATGCAATGTCCATTTTAAATGGTAAGAGGCTTCATTCTGGCATGAGTATCCCTTGCCCAGCCTCTCTACTTAATTGTTGTACTGATCCGATTCGTTGGGTGGAGCGGAAACATGCGTAACTTGAAGTGGAGTGTATGTATATATGTACATATGTATCAATCAACTCATCCGAGGGAAAACGAAATATACGAAGCATAAGTGAGGTTTGACCAATCGAGCACGGTGAATAAAGGCCTCCAGGGTGGTGGCTCCCACAGGGCCAGCGGAGCGTCATTGCTAGCTACATACAAGTGATCAATCGTGGAAACAGATGCATGTTATACACGTGATAGTGTTGGAATGAGGATCACTGATAAGGAGGCCGACTTGTCTCGAACCATAAACCAGATGCCATAACGTTGCTCATGGCGGTATTGCAGTTATATCACGAATGTTTCGATGTGTGCATATTGTGTATATATTGTGAGCATTGTAAGTAACGTAGATTGATATCTTCCAATGATCAGTGCAACTGCCTAGCCATCTGGAGGAGAACTCGTCGACGTGAAAATGAACAAAATGTTGTCAATATATCGATACAGATGATGGACGAGTATTATCGATATTTCAGATGTATCTTTACCTGGTTATTCACCTGCTAAACTCGGATGCCAAAGCAGAAATGATTCTTGTTGTAAGTCTAATAGCACTATTCTTGATCATGAAGATTATTACAGTCAGTACCTAGCTAGGAACGAGGAATCTTTTCAATGAGAAGTTCCGAGCCTCGTTCACAGACCACAAGGCTGACAGGATATTTGAGACGAGGCTTCGAGAAGACTTTTGACAAGGCTACGATCGGCTGGCTGCCTATTAAACTTTTCGATAAGTGGCAGAAAAAGTGGCAGGTGTGATATGATGACAAGGAATACTTAGTTAGAACTTATTAGTACAGTAGAGCAACAGTTGAATTATCATATCAAATTAATAAAGAATTTATCAATTCATTTTTTTACTGTAACGGTTTCTATCGCTGTACCTACCTCGTACCTATCTCACTCTTACATAATTTCTTCAAAATTGTTTCATTGAATCCAATCAATGCATCAGTAAAAAATCAATTCATGCTCACTACTGACGTAGTTTTGTCTTAAGCGATTACTGTATTAACCTAAGGTAGTAGCTTCAACAGAGAGCTTCATTCAAAATCTCCAACTTTCCTTCCCACCCTACCACCCCAACCCATACATAACACAAACATAAACCCCACCACCACTTAATAACCAAAATCCCAAAATCCTAAACCTTCGTTCCTTTAAGTCCTCAACAGACACGAACACTTACTTTAATCCTACTTAATTCATCTTTCAGTAGTTAGCTGGTCTTCCATCCCAGCGTCATCAGATCGACGAAATTCCCATCTATCGATACGACATAGTATTGAAAGGCGCCTGCACCGTACCTTTCAATATCACGAATTTCGATATCACGAATTTCTCCGTCTGCTTCCTCACATACCTCGAAACAACGCGACTTTGCACGCTTACGACATTCTTTTTATTTGCACTATCACGAAAAGTTTATCTGTGAGCAGGTAATTCAACGTCATTAACTTACTGATTTCGCAGGTTCAGCGCGACGTACATAGTTCCCTCATAAGTCAACTTATTCTCACGGCGCAAACGCACCAAGCGCCACCTACCTCCAGCTGGGGCTGTCAAATCTTGAGACACTTCTTCTTTGTTGAGCTGTCAAGAAAATAGGATTGCTACAGAAGTAGTGGAGGGGGTCGAATTCTTTTTTTCTGCGGTTGTGCCGCGCCCGCCATCATCATGGTCAGAATAACCAAGACGATACAACCCAAGCACCTGGAAACCTTGGTCAGTATTTTTATCTGTTGATTAGCACATATGGTGAGCTGACATCACACATTTAGTCTCCCTTCATCAGCGAATTCGTGAAAACCGCATGCTCCATATCTCTACCCCTCCTTCCGCAACATCTCTCACAATTTCCCACAAGATGGCCTTTCCCCCGTGGCGACCTTTATCATTGGATCTCTCTCTTGAATCGCTTTGATGTGATACTTGAAAGATTTTGCACAACATACAAGCTATCAGATGGCCCTCAAAAAGTAAACTTCGGTCGTGATATGTTGGAGTCTAATGTAGGAGAAGCAGCGGACGATGCGAAGACTCACAATCTGTCCGAGTTGGGCTACGGAGAAGATGGAGATAGACAATTGATTGAAGCGATCTTGAAATTCTCAAAGATGCTTTTGGAAAATTGTGGCAATCGCAGTATTTACTCCAGCAGTCCGCATCTAGGGAGTTTACTCAATACGACGTCTTTGTCATTACTTGAGAACACTCTTCTTGTCACATCTCAATTGGCTCAGAGATATAACTCTGCTATGAAGCGTGTTGGATCTGCTAGGAGTAGCAAGCATCTTTTGGCAGAGCATTACAATATCGATCTTAACAGAGTTCTTCAGTTAGCACTGCCTTTTAGCAAGACTATCACCACGCCGCCAGACTCGGCACAATCCACCACGACACCTAATCCCACAACTCCCGGGGCTAAAGGCAAGGAGAAGGACAAGGCTTATTTCAACCTTCCAATAAGCCACAAGAGTTCAACCACCATTGTTTATGCAAATGATCTCGTTTCAATATACAAAGGGGGATCAGGGGTCAGCACAAATACCAAAAGCCCTCGAAGAGGTTCTGATAATACTGCATCACCTGTATCGCAGACGAGCTGGGATGAGTGGGGAGACGTCAGGATGACCTATTATCCGAAAACCAAACCAGAAACCGAGTCAGCCAGCAATGCATCGAAACCAGCCGATGTCATTACTACCCCTGTCCCACCTGTTACTCCAACGCCGGTTCGCAGATCATCCAATCTTGGCCCGAACGCCCACCGTCCGAATCGTTCTTCTACAACCGAAGAGGCATCTCCAACTTTGGCACGTACCCCAACAATGCCTGCGGATGACGCGCAACGACAGAATGCCAAAACCATAGAAATATCTTCGGCAAAGCTCCGATCCACAGATATCTATTCTTTAATGGATGAGTATGGTTTGGATCTTCCCCAGGATCTGCAGTACGAGCTGTTTACGAAGATTCGAATTGCGAAAGCTCTCATATCTTCATTAGAGACACGACAACAGGCTCTGGCGATTAGAATGCTTGCTGTCGCGAACATGGCTAATGTCTATGCTGAACCCTTATTCCTTGAAAACATTATGAAACAGGATGGTGACGAGCCAAAGCGTTTACAATTTATCTATCAAGTTGCTGATTTGGTGCACCCGCCCGCAGAAGGTGATATCGCCGTCTCTATATACATGCAGACGCTGGCATTTTCAACCCTTGAAGCCATCGCCGGAATTTCAACAAAATTTCAAGACGTCTGCAAGGCCTTGAATACTACCATCAACCATGGGGTTATGTTGTACGTTATCCGTAAAGCTGTCGCAGAGATGGCCGTAGAGGACCTTGGTGATAAGTTGACAGACAAGGATCAGTGGCGAAACGCTTTATTCTCACTCATGACTAGTCTCTGTCAGTATCCCCGTACAGCAGAGGGCCTTGTCACAGCTGGTTTAATACCCATCATGATTGAAATTCTCGGATTACGCACTTCTATTGCCCAGCGCTACCAACCAAAGACTTTGTCATTTTTGGACAATGTAGTATATAGTGCTCGTGAAGCCTTTCAGATACTGGTCAATGCAAATGGTCTCGATCGTGTCTCAGATTTAATCGTTCACGAGACGACCGCTGCTTCGACCATGGCAGAATCTGGTAATGGGATGCCAATCGAACATCGTTCGCCATCCACTGACTATGAGATTCCTTTCTATCAACAACAAGTCTTGAAATGGCTGTTCAAATTTATTCACCATATGATGTCTTCAGCAAATAGTTACGGCGGCAACTTTGACCGCATTTTGCGGAATCTCATTGACTCTTCACAACTCCTTGGTAGTTTACGCCAGATTATTGGAAACGCTCGCTGTTTTGGCTCCATTGTTTGGACCAACGCCGTTGGTATATTGAACGGTTTCATCAATAACGAGCCCACGAGTTTTGCAATCATTGCAGAAGCTGGCTTGAGCAAAGGATTTCTCGAGGCTGTCACTGGGAGACCAATCCAGATGCTACCACCTTCTGGAGCAAAAAAGAGGCGTGGTTCCGCACATCTAGCAATTGAAGGTCCAGACGGGGATATCTCGACAGCATCATCTGACGAAGAATCTGATGATGAGCCATTTTTTGAGGTAGATACCACCCCACATCCACCAACATTGGCGATGCTTCAAGCTCTCCGCGAAGGGCCACTTGCTCGTGGCATCTTACCAACTCAAGAAACCATTAATATTGTACCGCAAGCATTTAGTGCGCTCTGCTTGAACAGCGCTGGTATGAGGATGTTTCGAGCCTCCCGTGCTCTGGAATCGTTCTTTGAGATATTTGAGAGCCCCGAGCATGTCAAATGTATGGAGTCAAGTGGTGAATTGCCATCTAGCCTAGGCGGTACTTTCGATGAATTGGCACGACATCACCCACCTCTTAAGGGTGCAATTATCAACGCTATCCTTGATATGGTCGTCCGAGTGGGTTATCTATGCAAGATTAAGGCTGAGAAAGATAGAGCAGGTGTTAAGTTGTGGGAACACGATTCCACTGGCAATGTCGTCCCTATCGGTTCCTCCTCAAGCAGCCCTTCGGATGTAAAGGGAAAAGGCAAGGCAGACGATAATGGTAGTGATGTTGAAATGCGCGATGCTGATGAAGCAGTACCCGCTCCAGTAGCACCCAAAGACTCCGACACTTCCATGACGGCGTACATAACCTCAGTCGCTTCTTTTCTTGCGACTGTTTTAAACAACTCTTCCGTCCGTACCGAGTTCTGTGCCAGAGGTGGCATTGAGTATGTGCTTGATCTCGCCGAGTCTCAAAGTTTACCAGCCAACTTCGGAGATGGCATATCTGGACGAAATCTGCAAAATGTTATCGCTCTTCTCGCCGAGCAAAAACCATATCTCGTGATCCCATCACTTTTGAAGCGAGCTCAGGCTGCCGCAGATGTTCTCCAACCATTTGCCACACACAACTTCAGCACATCTTTCTTTGCTCCGTTTGTAGACACACAAAGCCATGATCAAGCCGACAAGGAGATATTGGCACAAGGCACTGCTTTTGCGAAAGCTTTTGTCAATGTCCAATCCTTGGTATCTAATTTGACAGCTTCTATACAAGGATCTCCATACAGTCACAGAAACACTCCGTCTGGCTTCAATTCTATGAATTTCGCTGACCACTACAACCGCTTAATTCAAACCCTAGGTCCCCTCTTAGGTGCATCTATCAAAGAGGAAATTCTGTTGCAGACGTTTGTTCCCAAGAGCTGGCAACAAATATCCCCAGCACGAATTAAGGACAGCGTATTGAAGGATGTGTTTCCAGGAGCTGTCATCACTGAGCCATCCCATACTGCTGTTAACGCGCTAGCACCAGGTGTCGAACCCGACTCTCTATCTTCAGCTGCTGGTGTAACAGGCGCTGTAGCATTACAAGCAGACGCTGTAGAAGCCAATCCTGTTCCAGATATATCGGCCAAGCCATCAAGTCAGTTGACTCAGAATCCTACGGAACTTGAGACCCCTGGAGCTTTGAGGAACTCTGCTCAATATCGGAACTATCAAACGTTCCGTTACCTCCTCGGCAAGACGACTCGGGTTATTAGTCCCTTCTTCCAGAATGTTGGCAAGATACTGCTCAGCAAGCGTAACCCTGATCCATACTACAGACAAAACCATACCACTATCGCTGAAGCTTTGTCTGAATCTATTCTCAACCAATTGGCTCGCCCCGGCGATGACAACAGTACGGAAACTTATTCATATTGGATCGAGTTGTTACATGTACTCAAGGATATGTTAATTGATTGTAAGAATAACTCCTTTGATTAATTTCGCATGATTGAAACTGATGTTTTCTAGCTTCTCGTCATACAGATCGCCAAATTCAAACCATCAGTATCGTCTTGCAAGCTTTCAAGGAACGTTCCGGCTTCACCACTTTGAATCGCATCCTTGAAGCTTTTACCTCCGAAATCCGTGCGCCAAGTGGCCTGTCGCCCGAGCAGCAGGAGGAGAAGACACCCGAAAAGCCCGTGAAGCATGGATTGGCGGCTATCGGCGCCAAACAGATCATTTCTATGTACTCGATCCTCGCCAATTCCAAGCATGTAATTGAAGTTCCACAGACCTTAGCTATGATGCCTCGCAATGAACGAGACCGAGACCGTACCCGGCTTGACTCTTTCACTCCTGGCCAGTTCATGGTGGAGCTTCGCATGGCAATCTTACCTACTGTCCGAAGTTTGTGGGAGTCTGATTTGATTGAAAAGGCTCCGAGCCAGATATCAGAGGTTCTCATTGAAGTAATTCGTACTATAGCCTCCACGGAAGGTGAAGGTGGAGCTATCAGGAGAACTGAAAACCAACCTACCAGACAAACAAAACCTCCCCGAAAGGCTTTCAAAATTAACTCTGATAACGTCAACGCGCTTAAAGACCAAGGCTATGATGAGGATTTAGCCAAGGAGGCTTTGTATCGTTGCAACAATCATCTTGCTACGTCAACTGACTATTGCAAGGAACAGAAGAGAGAAAGAAGTCGTGGGCGCTGCCCAATTCCCGAGGATGATATTGAGGTTGCTCCCGAGCCTAGTGGTAATTCTAGACCTTCAAGTGGATCTACCGGATCAGCAAGCCCAAGTGAGCAACCCGCGGCTATCAGTTCTGCACATCCAGATGTAACAGCGATCATTAATTCCCTTCAAACAGTTGCTACAGTTCCGGCATCAGGCCAATTAGTTCCACCTGAATCAGCCGATGACCCATTTACGCCCCAGGGGTTTAATCGCATGATGAACCAACTCGCTCCTGGTTATGATAATAGAAGCCAAGATACATCGAATAGCGCCGGACCTAGCGCCCCTCGTGAAAGTCCTTCACTGAAGCCTACACAATCCATCAAGGCTGAGGAGCCCGCTGTCAAGCAGGTCACCGTTGACGACTTGAATGATGAGCGCAAGCTCATTCGAGAAAATTTGATTGATAAGTGCTTGGATGTCATCAATGCTCATGGCGATGTCACATTTGAGATATCCGATTTGATTACTACTGTGGTCAATAAATCTCCTGATCATTCTGGATTGAGGAAGATTGTCGCCGAAACACTTGTTGTCGCCCTTATGTCTTTCGCTGGTGCAGAAGATGTTCGCACTGATGGAAATAAGATCGCGGCCTATGCTCATTTACTGGCGTTAATGTTACGTGAAAAGCAGTTCTACGCCGCTGCAGTTGGAGAGCTCAAGGAAAATCTCTCCACATTGCTCACTTTTGTCAAGCTATCTCCTTCACATTCCGCCGAGGAACCATCGCCATGGATTGCACAGATCCTTCTCATTGTTGAGATGCTATTGAGTGAAGATGCTAAACCAAGAAAGGCTAAGTGGACACCACCAAAAGATGAGAATGAAAAGGCTGAGGCACCTGTCATTGAGCATGTAGAGCTTGCCGTATCTGAAGAGGAAAGATCTCAACTTTTAGAGTCAATTCTAGACATCCTTCCACGAATTGGAAAAGAAGAATCGCTCGCACTTGCTGTACTTCGAATCCTTGTCATATTAACACGTACTCGCTCAATTGCGCAAGCCATGGGCGAGAAAAAAAATATACAGCGATTGTTTGTAATGGCGAAGCAGCTCGCTGGTGCTAGTTCGACTCGCATTCATAGCCCCCTTTTGCTAATTCTCAGACATATTGTTGAGGATGACGAAACCATCAAACAAATTATGCGATCGGATATCAAGGCCTTCTTTGATCACAACGTTCGACCCCAGCGATCCCCTATTGATCTTCAGCTCTATTTAAGAGGGTTGCAACACGTCGCCAATCGTGCCCCGGCACTCTTTGTTCAAGTAAGCAACGAAATGGTAAAGTTTACGGGATGGCCATTATCGCCTGACCCCACAAGTCGTGCACCCTCCTTAGTCCTCAAGGGTGACTCTCCAAGTGAAAACACTCCCTCTCTCAAGAATGCTGAAGATACTGTTCAGCCGACAGTGCAAGCCACGGAGGATCTAAGTCTTCAAGATCTCAAACCATCTACTGAGGCTATTGATACTGATATGCCGGATGTTGGAAAGACAGCTTCCTTAGAGCATAAAACACCCGTAGTCGAGAACCCGGATGGTGTTATTCACTTCCTACTTTGTGAGCTCTTGAACTACAAAGATGTGGAAGATAAGGATCGTCCAACCACCAGCAGTACCGAGAAGGCTACCTCCTCCATTGGGGATGTGTCAATGATCGGTGCACCGTCCGTGCCTGATTCACCTGCACTCAAAGACAGCCAGTCTATCCAGGAACCCACGAAACAGGAATTCAAGGCCGACGAACATCCTATATATATCTATCGATGCTTTCTACTGCAGTGTCTCACTGAACTGTTGTCCTCTTACAATAGAACTAAAATCGAGTTCATCAATTTTAAGCGTAGTGCTCCTCCTCAAGCAATGACTCCGTCTAAACCCCGATCCAGTGTGCTTCATTATCTCCTCGCCGACCTCTTGCCAATTGGAACATTGGATTATGCAGAAAATACGGCCATTCGCAAGAAGCTCACCACTTCGCACTGGGCCGACTCTGTCATCACTGCTTTGTTGAACAAGACTGGAGAACAGATCCTTGACAAGTCTCGAGAACAAAGCGATGGAGAAGACGAACCTGATCTCTTGTTCGTTCGACGTTTTGTCCTAGAAAATATTCTCAAGGCCTACAAAGACGCAAGCGCTTCTACTGAAACCCTCGAGGTTAAATATGCTAGGATGCTTTCACTTGCTGATCTCATGATGCATATCATGACTGGAAAGGATAATCTAGGAACTGCGGATACATCTGTTAGTAAGAGATCGCAGATGCAGCTTAAGCGCATTATGTTTGAAAAGGGATACATTGCAGCCTTGACTGCTTCGGTCGCAGATATAGATCTCAACTTTCCCGGTGCAAAGCGAGCTGTCAAATATATTTTGCGACCTCTCAAGCAGCTTACTCATCATGCCATCTATCTTAGCGAAAACTCACTTATATCCTCTCCTCCAGGACAAGCTGACGAAGACGATATTGAGTCTGCTACTTCAGTGTCAGATCTAGAAGATGAGCGAGAAGAGACCCCTGATCTATTCCGAAACTCGACTTTAGGCATGTTCGAGCAAGGGGATGAGAATGATACATCATCTGATTCCGAAGATGGTAAGGTGTACCCGGTGTCATACTTTTTATTTAATAGCTAACCTTTGTAGATGATGAGGATATGTACGAAGGCGAATATGACGACGGTATGGAGTATGAAGAAGAAATGGAACCAGATGACGAGGAGAACGTTAGTGATGAAGATGACGATGATGACGGCATGGGTCCCATCGAAGGTCTTTCTGGCGATCATGGTGTTGATGTCGAAGTCATCATGGAGGATGAAGAAGATGATGACGAAGACGATGATAGCGAAGATGAAGATGATGATGATGACGAGCACGGTTCCGAGGAAATGGAGGATGATGATGCTCGTATCGAAATTCTTGACGAGGCCGGAAATGTCCAAGAGCTCGCCGAAGACGAAGATCTTGATGATTGGGAAAGCGATAATGACGAAGAAATGGAGGAAGATGATGAAGAGGAATATGAGGAAGGTTATGAGGGACCAGGAGAGGACAACGAACAGGCACATGTTCACGCTCATTCTATGGGTGATATGGGTCCTATTGGCAATCTTGTCCGCGTCCTCGCCGGTGCTGGTGATGAGGAAGATGCCGTTGAAATGCTTCAACGCCTGGAAGAAGAAGGTGTTGGTGACCCTGAAGATGACGAAGAAGAACCTTTGGGTGAATACATGGAGGAAATTGAAGAGGAAGGTATGTATTATGTTTCTCTTTCACTTTAGAAGCACTTTCTAACCTTCACTGCAGAAGATGAGGATGATGAAGATGATGTGGACGAAGAAATGCTCTTTGAGCACGCATATCCAGGTCAGTCTAATATCAGACCAAGCTCTACGGTCCGACTAATAGATCAAGCGGACGGCCCCGGTCCTATCTTTGGTTGGGAGGGAGATGTTGAGCCTCCAATGGTCATCAGCAACCGTGGACATCAAGGCCGACATCGTCATGCATTCCCCAGTCCCTTTCCATTCCTTCCCGGAGGTTCGCGCGACCCACTTGGTGGTAGGTTGTCTCAACTCTCAGAACTTGAAGCTACGAGAAGATATGAAGAGTTTACAGAAGGACGCATCCGGGCGACAGAATCTACGATTCTGGGGCGAACTATGAATGATCAAACCAGACAGAATAGAACTGATAGAATTTTAGTTCCAGATTTCCGTTATAGAGCACACAGATCCGGCGCTCCACCTCCATATTCCACGGACGACGGCACGAATCCTTTACTTCAACGCAATGGCCCAAGTGGTTCAAACCGACCTGGCCATCGAGGACCTCAAATAGGCAGCTGGATCCAAGCACCGGGACCAGGCGCCTTGATAGACATGAGTAGTGTTCTTGGTGGACGTGCCTTTGGTGATAGCCCTGAACAAATCCTTGATATGATCAGATCCTTACGTATCCCAGGATCGATGGTTCGTAATGGACAAGCTTTACAGTTTCACATTACCGCTGGTCCTGGTCAGTTGCCTAGGGAACTTGAAGCGATGTTTGGCACTCGTCGTCCTCGTACTGATAACCATCGTGATACGAGCGAGCCTGGAAGCGCTACATCTTTCACCACTCAGTGTACAGCTGCGCGATGGTCAGAAGAGTCGAAGTTACTCTTTGGACCGAGTAATGTTGAGGTCGCCCAAGAGCTCAAAAACGAAATAATGGCAGGACTTGTACCTCCTGCTATTGAAGCTGACAAAGCTATCAAAGCAGCTGAAATGGAGCGAATCCGCGCGCTGGAAGAAGAAAAGAAAAAGCGACTCGAAGCAGAAAAATTGGCTAGGGAAGCCAAGGAGGCAGAGGAGAAGGCAGCTAGAGAGAAGAAAGAGGCCGAAGAGAAAGAAGCCGCCGAAAGAGCTGCAGCTGAGCTTGCGGCTACTCAAAGTGCCGAGGTTGATGAACAAACCGGGGAGTCTATCGAGGCTAATAATGCTAACGCAGCCGATGCCATGGAGGGTGTTCAGAGCGAAGCACCAGAAGCAGCTACGAATGCGGAAACACAGGGAGCGGAAGCTCCAGCTGCTGATCGTCCTAGAGTCATGACTGTGATTCGCGGCAATCCATTTGATATTACAGATTTAGGCATTGACGCAGAGTTTCTTGCGGAACTTCCAGATGAAATCCGTGAGGAGGTCATCATGGCTGCCGTTGCCGAACGACGTCAACAGGCTACTGCCACCGGCTCACAACCAACCGACATTGACCAGGAATTCCTTGATGCCCTTCCAGATGATATTCGAGAAGAAATCATGCAACAAGAGGCACAAGAACGCCGTCGTCGTGAACGTAACGAACGACGAGAAGCAGCCGCTGCTGCAGGCGGAGGTCCGCCAAATGGGGACATGGACCTTCCAAGCATTCTTGCCACCTTTTCACCAGCTCTCAGGCAGGAAGTTTTGATGGATGGTGACGAAGATTTTATGGCATCTTTACCTCCAGATCTCGCTGCTCAAGCACGTCAACTACGCAGAGGTCAACCGGATCATCCTGGTCATTCTGGAAGAGCACCTGTTGGTGTTATTCGCCGCCCTGCTCCTGGCGAGGAAATTCGAGGTGCTCCTCAGCAGCCAAGAGCTCGTCGGGCAATTGTTCAGATGTTGGACAAACAAGGTGTAGCAACACTCCTACGTTTGATGTTCATTTTCCAACACAGCAGTTTCCGAAGTACACTCAATTCAGTCTTGCAGAATGTCGCATTGAACAAGCACAACCGCGCCGAGCTTATCAGCACCCTTCTTCATATTCTTCAGGATGGCAGTGCCGACATGACCGCAATTGAGCGAAGTTTCTCTTATTTGTCAGTCAGAGCTAAGCAACCTAAAGAAAAGGATCCGAAGACACCAACACAAACTCTTCGAAGAACACTCACTGGTCTCGGCTCCCTTGCGCAGACAAATTCTGAGGCATCGCCACTCATGGTAGTCCAGCAATGTTTGACAGCCTTGGTCTATCTTGCTCAGACTAATTTGCATGTTGCCTCTTTCTTCCTAACCGAGCATGAGCCATCTGGCGGACTTAAGCGTAGTCTCAGTCGCAAAGGAAAGGGGAAGGACAGTAAGGCACCAAGATATGCACTTAACTCTTTGCTCAGTCTTCTAGATCGCGACCTCATCATGGAGAGCGCAACTATCATGGAACAGCTTTCACTCTTACTTAATATTGTCACTAGTCCACTCATTGCGCTAGAGCGAAAACAAAAGGAGGCCATTGAAGAAGCAGAAAGAGCCAAAGCGGCTGCGCCTGCAAATGAAACAGCGGAGGCCACTGGTTCTACCGACGTACCTAATACTGAAAATGTTACCACCGGTGAAAGCACGTCTACCGAACAGGCACAAGCGTCCCCAGAGACTGCCGCCCCTGCGGAAAATCCGCATGCTGGTTCGACTTCTACTCTAGCACTTTCAACGCTTGTCATTCCAACAAACGCTGATAGTGGTGATGCCTCCGCCGTTCCAGAAACTGATTCCTCTAAGCCCGCGGATGCCTCTAAACAAGAACAGAAGAAAATCCATGTCTTTACCCCTCCAGTCGTTCCAGAACATAATCTCCGACTGGTAACAAACATTTTCTGCTGTGAGTGCAACTCTAAGACCTTCCGGGAGACAATATCAACCATCAAGAATCTTTCCACAATACCTGGGGCGAAAACTATTTTCGGAAAAGAACTTATTGCCAAGGCTCGGGCATTGGGAGAAGTTATCTTGGTAGACCTTCAAGACCTTCTTCCTCAGATTCAAAAAGCTAGAACTGGTACGGAGATCCAAGGTGTCGCATTAGCAAAGTTTTCGCCACCGGCGTCCGATCAGCACAAACTTCTACGTGTTCTCACTGCTCTAGATCATCTGTTCGATCCCAAGCGTGAAAAGAAGGACGATGCCGCCAGTGAAGAGGACTCCTCTGAGATTGTTGAAAAGCAAGATCTTTTGTCTAGCCTCTATGAGAATTCCACCTTTGGTCCAATGTGGGATAAGCTAAGTGCTTGTCTCAGTACAATTAGGCAACAAGACCACATGCTTAGTGTCGCCACTATTCTTTTACCCCTGATTGAATCCCTCATGGTCGTTTGCAAGAATACCACCTTGAAGGACGCACCCCTCACTCGAGCTGCGAAGAACAAGGAAATGGTTCTTGCCAGTCCCGTTCCAGAGTCGCGGATGGAGAACTTGTTCTTCTCGTTTACCGAAGAGCATCGAAAGATTCTCAACGACCTCGTCCGACATACACCTAAGCTCATGTCTGGTACATTCTCCCTCTTAGTAAAGAATCCCAAGGTTCTTGAGTTCGATAACAAGCGCAACTACTTCAGCCGCAGCATCCACAGCCGCAGTCAAGGTTCTCGTGCAGTTCCTCCCCTACAGCTATCTGTTCGCCGAGAGCAAGTATTCCATGACTCTTTCAAATCTCTCTACTTCCAAACCCCAGATCAGATGAAATATGGCAAGCTAAGCATTCGTTTCCATGGGGAAGAGGGAGTTGATGCAGGTGGAGTTACTCGTGAATGGTTCCAAGTTCTCTCTAGGCAAATGTTCGACCCTGGCTATGCTCTTTTCATTCCCGTATCTTCTGACCGTACTACTTTCCACCCCAACCAGTTGAGTAGTATCAATGAAGAGCATCTCATGTTTTTCAAGTTTATTGGTCGTATCATAGGAAAAGCACTTTATGAAGGTCGTGTTCTCGACTGTCATTTCAGCAGAGCAGTTTACAAGCGCATCTTAGGCAAAGCTGTTTCAGTAAAAGACATGGAATCTTTGGATCCAGACTATTATAAATCTCTCATATGGATGCTTGAGAACGATATCACGGATATCATCACCGAAACCTTCTCCGTTGATAATGACAAGTTTGGCGTTGTTGAGACCATTGACTTCATTGAAAATGGACGCAATGTTGCTGTTACAGAGGAGAACAAGCACGAGTATGTGAGATTGATGGTTGAATGGAAACTTACAGGATCTGTCAAGGCACAGCTTGATGAGTTCTTGAAGGGCTTCCATGATATTATCCCGGCTGAACTGGTCTCGATTTTTAATGAGCAGGAATTGGAATTGCTAATCTCTGGACTACCTGAAATTGACGTTGATGACTGGAAGAGCAACACCGAATACCACAATTACTCAGCATCATCTCCACAAATCCAATGGTTCTGGCGTGCTGTTCGCTCGTACGACAAAGAAGAACGAGCCAAGTTGTTGCAATTCGTCACGGGAACCAGTAAGGTACCTCTCAATGGCTTCAAAGAGCTCGAGGGTATGAATGGCTTTAGCAGATTCAACATTCACCGCGACTATGGCAACAAAGAGCGACTACCATCTTCTCACACTTGCTTCAACCGTAAGTTACGCTGTCTAATTCAAATACGTGCTCCTATGCTAACTAAATACATAGAACTCGACCTTCCAGAATATGAAAGTTATGAAACCCTGCGTGCTCAAGTCCTTACGGCCATTACAGCAGGTAGTGAATATTTCGGCTTTGCATAAAGAACAACTACAATATGAGACATTTTTTCCTTTTCATTATGATATCATGCATGGCAGGCTTTTGATCAGCATTTGACGGCGTCGAGCTTTCTTTTTTTGATGATATGTATGGGGACAAGGCGGTCTTCTTTTAACCAAAGTGATTGGTCTTTCCGAGGATGGGTTTGCTTTTTTGTGGTTTGGAGGATATGAAATTAGGCAATATTAGGTAGATAACTAGGGCGATGGATGGCAATATTTGGTCTGGGATTTCCTGAGAATGATACCTTTAAAACGAAGTGCAGGTCGTTTGTAGGGTGAATTCCTAAGAGAGAAGGACTAGATAGATGGCTCATCAGAACAAAACTTTCATAGTTGGCCAAAATGGATGTAAAATTAGATAGCTTTAATTTAGCATTCTAAATCATTATAAGATACTGTGTCTAATTCCCTATGTCTAAACCCGCGAGTTGTGATAATAATTGATACACTTGAGGTGTAGATTTTCGTTACAAGGTTAAGAGCGTTGTAGAATATGGTGATCTATCATTCCGTGAACGTAAATACTTTCCTAAGAGCTCCAATTTACGTACTCGCTTAATTCAAACTACTCATACTCATGAATTCTGTATTGCATGCATATGGCCACCCGGGAAGAGAAGTCACTATACATAACCTACGCCCTGATAGCAATAGCAATAGCACGTTTGTTCTTTTTGCGAGTGATTGGATCTCCCAACTATCGACTGGATACGCCTCCTGCAATCCACAACGTATTCCACTAGAGACTCTTACCCCTAAGTGGTCACCAAATGCTTCCTGTACAGATATACAAATACTTCCTGAAACGATCCAAATATTGAAGAACAATATATATAGGAAATACAGATATTTCGAATTCGGCTAAAGTGAGACTATAATCACTTTGAATATTAATTGTTTTTTTAATTATCTCCAATCATTGATTATCTTTAATCATTAATTCAATTATAAATTATTTGATAATTATTTTTTTCTCTTTTAAAATCATTCACTTTATTATCATATCACAAAAATATTTTGATTATGTAATAAAGTAGATTATTTTAAATAACGTGGTTTATCAGCGAGCGGGCCATATCAGCGAGCGGGCCACTTTTACCTCAATTTATATCTTTCAATTTCAATACGCGATTTATCAACAATATATTATGGAATCGAATAATCAAAAAGGTCGAATACTTTTAGCTATCGAAGCTATCAATAAAGAGCAAAAATTAAGTATTCGAAAGATTGCTAAACTATATAATATCCCGCGTATAAAGATTCAGCGCAGAATGGACAGTACTACCCCTCGTATCGAATCTCGAGCAAATAGTTATAATTTGATCAAATTAGAAGAGGAAGTGCTTATCCAATATATAATCGATATAGATAAAAGAGGGTTTGTATCTAAATTAAGTGATATAGAAGATATAGCGAATTATATCCTTGAATTACGGAGTGCGAAGAAGATTGGAAAGCTCTGGGCTCATCGCTTTGTTAAATGATATTCAGAATTAAAGATATGTTTTAATTGCATTTATGATTTTTAAAGAGCTCTTTGCAAAGATCCCAAGTTTATTGAAGAGTGGTTTGGATTGGTATCGAATATACAGGCGAAATATGATATTGTCGATTCCGATTTCTACAATTTCGACGAAATCGGCTTCATAATAGGTATAATATATTTTGGAATAGTTGTAACTAGTGTTAAACGAAATGGCAGAAGCAAGGCAATACAATCAGGCAATCGAGAGTAGGCTACGGCAATTATATATGGCAATGGAGAGAGTGAAACTATACCTCTATTTCTGATAGTTCAAGAACAAGTTCATCTTTCCAATTGATATACCGAAACCGATTTTCCTGCAGATTGGACTATTAAACCTACTTTTAATAGATGGACAAATAATGAAACAGGGTTAGAATGATTAAAGCATTTCGATAAATATATTGTTCGTCAAAGGAAGGGCAAATATCGAATGCTAATATTGGATAGGCACGAAAGCTATGAATCAATACCTTTTCAATCATATTGCAAATCAAATGATATTATGTATCTCAAATTACTATCATATTCAAGTCATTTAACTTAATCACTCGATGTTGGGTGTTTTAATATACTCAAACGTTTATATAGTTATCAAATTGAAGGATTTATTAAAGCTTATATCAATCATATTACCAAGATTGAATTCTTTATAATCTTCAAAGCTGCATATTTACAATCATTTACTATTCAGAATATGAAAGCTGGTTTTCGAGGAGCAGATCTAATACCATTCGATCTTCAATCTATATTCTCAAAATTAGATATTAGGATTTGTACTTCTACCTCTTCATTTACCTTTTTAGAACTTACCAATTCCTAGATCTCTCAAATCCCTTGTAATCCAATTGAGACTCTCTTATAATCAACTTTAATAAAAGCTCAAATAACTTATTATCAATCAAGCTCTTCTATATCTATATTTGAGATTATACAAGTTTTAATTGAAGGTACAAAGAGATTAGTATATGAAGTTATAATTTTGAGTGTTGAGAATCATATATTTCGAAGAGCAAATGAGGTATTAAGTAAATGTCGACGTATTAAAAAAATTCAACTATATAATAAAGGAGTACTTACTGGATAAAAAGCTGAAGATATATTATTACAATAAGAGATTGATAATCAGATTCAATGCAACGAGCATCAAAATGAGGGAAATTTTAATAGGGAATCATCTACTAATCGATGCTGTAGTAAATGTGGAAAGACTGGTCATAATTCAAGAACTTGTTAGAATAGTATAATAGATACTAGATTATTAGATTCTTGATAGTTTCAATCAATTGATTTAATTGTTGTTAAATAATATGGGTTTGAAATGATAAATTGAGGTAAAAGTGGCCCGCTCGGTGATATGGCCCGCTCGCTGACAAACCACGTTATACAATTATTTAAAGAAGTTTAATTTTAAAATTGTGACCAAAAGGGTGTTATAGACCAGCAATTGTATTTAACTTAGAATCTACAGGTGAAGAGCACCTGTAGATGGGGATAGCTACTCTATATATACACAAATGAATGGCCTAGCCGCAATAGCTAGGCAAAAAGAAGTCATATTTATTCCTCCAATGATCTTACTTTACCGATAACCATTGATACCTAGTACTTGTCCGGATCTGATCCTCAGGTCACCTAAATCGCATACTAATCTCGAGTAATCGTATCATGTGTGGACATGGTTAATGTACCTGAGGTTTCTTATATAATAAGGGTGGGAGGAAAGCAGGGATTTCCGTCACAAAAATAATAATTTTAATTCAAAATTATCCTTTTAAAAAGTATTTTATATTTACAAAATTGAAATATAATTTGAAGGTATATAAAGAGTATTTTTAATTAAACTTAATCAATTTTAAATATATTTATTCTTCTAAAAGATCAAAAGTAATGAAAAATATTTCTGAAAGTATTTTCTGCTTTTTCAGAGTACGATCTGCAAACTCATTCAGCATTACCTGGTCAAGTTATTGACCAAAGTCAACCACCTGTAATATTAGTTGACGAAACAGAAATTTATGATATTGAACATATAATAGATTGGAATAGAGCTCCCGATAAAGGAAATGGGCAAAATTATTTAGTAAAGTGGGAAGGTTGCGGACGACCAATCTGCGAGCCGAAGTCATCTCCAGAGAATACCATTGCTATGATTGAGTGGAAGAAGAGTCCTAAGGCTAAGACGCAGGGCTGTGGAAACTCTACCAAACGTGAAAGAACTCACCAGAGAGGAGGAAGGGATAATGTGAGGGTAAGAACCCTAGTGGAACTCCGGCTGTGCCTTTGTCAAGTCACGTGACGCTCCGTTACTGTTCTCTTCTAGAGCCTGTGCAGAGCAACACCTACCTTCTTTGATACCATATCGAAAAGCATACTACGAACGTACAGCGTATTTGGATGGAATGAGTCTTATCAAAATTGAGCAACTACCTTACGAACAAATGAATCACATCCACTAATACACACAAATATGCATCATCCATCAAGCATTCCCACCCCCATGATTCAATCTCGCATTTCCTTCCCAGTACAACTCCAAACCCGTCAAACCACTCAGATCCAAACTATTTGCATTCTCAATCTTCACGGTCCACTGTGCAAATGCAGTCGGATCCACATAATCCGCACTATGAATAATGCTATCAAAAGTGTACGGTAATTGCACTGTTCCATCTTTCGCCACCATGTACTTAAATGTTCGCTCTAACGGTTTCATCGTATATCCGTATACGACGTTGTCTTTTACATCGTTGTAAATTCCCGAGGTGGATATTGTAAGGAGGATGGGGGCTTTTGAGGTAACTGAGGAGAAGGATGAAGGAAGGGGTTTGGCGCCGAGGAGAAAAGCTCGCATGCCGAAAACACGGAAGCGCGATCCGCTGGTGAAGGGCCCAGTTATAGGAGGTAGAATAGAACTTGATATAGCTGGAGTGATGGAGGTGGAAGTGGAGGTGGAAGTGACGGAAGGCGAGAAGGTTATGGTGACAGAATGGGAATCAGACTGAAGAGCCGTTACAACGCTGTTGGGGTAGCTGAGTGGGAGCTATAGGGAAAAAATACATGAAAGAGTCAGTGAGTGTCCTTCTGTAGATTGTTCGATTATGGATTTTTTAACCACTGTGAAATTAACTTACCTCAAGAGTTTGAATACCAAGGCTGAAAGCTAGATGTAACAAAAATGGCCAAAGTAAGTTTTGGATGTCAAGTTTCAGCTGGAGTATACTCACGTGTAAAATCACTCGAATAGTTCTCCTTACACGAAGTAACTTCCTGCAAAATCATCTGGGAGTCCTGCTGATACTGAAGCGTAGTTTTCAAGGGATCCAAAGCAATCGAACTATCACTTAAAGTATAGTATTTGTATGCCCATACAGCATCTCTCATATAAACCATGATGCTATTACGAAGCATTGATACTTGATCGTAGAAATAGCCTTGGGCCTCGAGAGCCGCTTCTTCTTCTCCTTGGTAAGTATCATATAGCTGCTGCAGACGTAATTTATTCGCTTGTGTTGCGTGCAATTGGAGCCGGAGCTGGATGTATTCCTGGCCTGAAGAGAATAGAGTCAGCAAATATCCTCGTCATAGTGAGTATCAATCGGTTAAGAAGACAGGATACTCACCAAGCTTAACAGCCTGCGCTCTTGCCTGAACAAGAAGCTTCCCATCGATAGCATGTCGCCTCAGCTCCAACTGGTACGCCCCCGCCCCTCCAATACTTTGCGCAACCGCATAAGCCATCTGCGCATCGCTCTCTAGCATCCAGTCATCCCAGGCAGCCAGACTCAAAATTTCAGCAAGATCTGCGTTAGGCTGATTATCACCAGAGACATCACCTCCCGCGGTATTCAAAACTACTTTTGATGTGTTGTCTGTCCCACGATCAATTTTAATCCGGATATCATTCACCGATGTACTAGTACTTTGGTAAAGCTTGAAGACGGCTTCTGTACTACTTTTGATAGCTTTGATGGTCTGTGGCTTAAGAAATGAGTTTTCTACATTTGCTGCTTTAGTGGCAACTTTTACGGCTGATGCTGCAGCAGCTGGTGCGGCGGCTGCTCCGGCAGGATCTCCGATTGCCAGCTCACCGATCGCCATTGCGAATCCTAGTTAAGAGGAGGTATCCTTTAGCGTAATCCCCGAAGAGTCAATCGGTTGAGTTCGAGAAACAACATATGAAAACATCAAAACGCCAAAATATACATACCAACCACAACTTGAAGAACCTCGACAATTGTGTTAATTGTTTGCTTTATCTTCCATACTTCGATCCCGGCATGAAATTGCCACTGTCTCTTCTGAAGTAGTATCTGGTGAGCTCTCAATGTAGCCTCTGCACTATTCAATATCGCTGTTGCACTATTCCATCTTGCTAATGCGTTATTAACAAGGGTTTGTTGAAGAGCGATGGAATCAACCGTTTGATCTAGCATTGCTTTCCATGCGATTTTTTGATCTGCAATAGCAGTTCCCTTGTCTGAAAATCGATTGTATTGGGTTTCGAATGCAGATGTCGTTGCGATGGCACCATCTAGAACTTGTTTGTACAAGCTTAGTGTCAAGACTGGCGCATAATTCATGTTTGGCCCTGTTAGAACTGAGGCAGTAATCTGCTGACCCAGAGCATGGGCTTGTAGATTAAGGAGTGCGCCTGCCTCTGAAGAATCAGTCGCCCTAGCTACGTGGGATGTTAACGCTAGTGCAAGACTAGGTTGGATCCAGAAGAGAATAGACGCAATTCGGAGTTGAGTGACAAGGCAATTTTTGAACTCAACATCAGACATGGATAAGTCTACATAGCGGTCCAGGTAAGTGAGAGTTGCTTCGCCGTTAATAATATCAATTTGTGCACCAAGATTGCCGGATGATGGAGAGAGGTCAAGTGTGATTGCAGGAGTGGTACTTGAATTGAGTTTGTAGGATATTGGTTGGTCGAATGTGGATCCATATATCATAAACACCGATTCGTCGGTGGTAGCGTGATCGAGAGTTAGAGTAAGAGGTCCGCTTGCCGTCACAGTTCGGCAGACAAGATTGACTACACCATCTTGTGGAATTGTGATAGTTGTGTTTGGCGTAGGAAATGCTAATACATCTGCATAGATATTGGTGAAGCTAGACGTGGATGTGGCAATAGCAGCTGGTGCATCGACATATATGTCTCGGAGTACATACTGTGTGACTCATCGGTAAGTATAGCATCCGGGTACCTTCAAAATACCTAAGGAAAACCAAAAACTCACTTTGCTATCTTTGGCTACAAGGTTTGTTCTTTGAGGTAGGGTTGGTAGTGAGTGGGATTCAGAATAATGCTTCCACCCGGCGGGAGAATTGGGGATGACGTCGTTGGAACTCATGATGAAGATTTGAAAATGAAGGAAAGCTAATCATCGAACTTCAAACCAAGTAGGGTTGAATTCTCTTTGATATAAGGTGAAAAGAGTTCACAATCTTCGTCAATAGACTATTTTCATCCCTGCAGGCTTCCAATACACATATCACTCAATGACTCACTGACTTCAAAGTTCGATATACATATCCCCTAGAATGCAGAAAAGCGATGTCTCACTTGACAGGGATTTTGTTGATCAATTAAAAGACCAGGATCTCTAAATTTTTAAACAAGTTTTAATTTTATTTTATATTTAAAAATTCATTAAATATTAATTTTAAATAAAGATGATATTTTTGATAATATTATATTTTTTCTTTTGAGCACCAATAGCCGATAACAAGGGAACTAATTGTAACGATACTTATTGGGTTTCTTGAGACCAGAAAGAGCATCAGATTGAATTGATTGACTCTCTAGCTAAGCAGTTAAGCTGCGAGTATATATTCAAAAAAAATTGAAGGAATGAGGTTAGGTCATCAGCCTTCGGAATTAAAGTGCTTTGAAATCAAAATATTGAAAGCAAACAAACAGTATACCAAAAAGGAAAGAATGAATTAAAAGTTGAGTTTTGTTTGCTCCTTATATGCATCATGCAATATATATGCATATGCTGCCAAGATCCCAGGAGGTCAACAATACTGTACTGGAGGCAGCGGCTGCCTGAGGTTTCGTCTGGTTGGTAGTTGTAGGTTAAGGCTTTATCACTGGTATTCACTTGGAAGTGAATTCGTTACTAGATCAACTAGAATGTAGGTAACTAATTGATAACTAAGTTGAGCACGAAGCTCCTGTACTATGAAAATAATGAATGTTTATATACTGGTCCTTTCCAGGAGCCTGTAGGAGCCTACGCTCCTGGGGGCACCATCACGTGATCCCTACTTGTCCCACGTGATGGTGAATCGTGACACAAACCTCGTAACAGTTTATAAGATTTTCAATAAATATATAGTTAAAATATTATAAAAATAAGTTTTTTTAAAAAAATTTGATTTAGAATATAATATATTATAAAATATAAAAATGAAATTTGAGATTATTTATTTTGATATTTATTATATAATTTAAATAAATATAATGTTATATAATATATACTATAATTTAGATTTCTAGTTTTTGAAATTATTCTAGCTGAAATAGAAAATTTCAGACGGAATAGGAAGTATAATCGAGATTGTAAAGATTATTTAGATATCTTTCTTTTCTTGAATAGAATAAGAATATTATATAATGACCCGAGATAAATAAAATATAAATCAATTCTATTTTAAAAATTACATTAAAATCATTAGGCTCTGCCAAATCAAGTGATTCTGGCCGTTAAAAAACTACTCTAAAACTATAGAGACTATCAAAAGATAACTAGTTTATTACCTCTATGAATACCTCTACTAGATAGTCTTGGGTCCTGTATTACATGACTCTCTACATGATTCTCTACAATTGTATCACATATTTTTACAGCAGATGCTATGTTGAGTATCATACGGAAGATTGCTAGCGAATTTGCAGGTCCACCTTCCCCTCATCTATACCACATCGGGCGATTTTTCTGCAAGATTCAATAAGAACTGTATCATAAAAAGTACTTCGTGATACCGCACAAACTCAAGTAACCCGAACTGAAATTTTTTATTATCTTTTAAAACAGAAACTTAGTCTAAGAAAGTCTGTATAATATTTGTTTAAATAAAAAAGTCTTATTAATTAAAATAAAGTTTTGAGGGGGGTTTCTTTTGACTCTTTTCTTGAATTATAATAATGGGTTTAAAGTTTTTAAATTTGAAATTCAAAATCAATACATATTAATGTTATCCTAATTTGAAAATTAAAATGATGTTAAATAGAATTTATATTTTAAATTGAAGATAAGTATTTGATAATATTTAATGGATTCAAAATCTCAGTGTTTTGATTGGCCAATAAGACCTCGTTAAGCGATAAAGTTAGTTTTTGACATTCTAGAGAATAAAATAAGGTTTAGGGTATAAATGAATTAACAAGTTGAAATCTCCCCAATTCACTTTATCAATTGTTCTACCCAGAATGGGAAATGATAAATAAGCTTATTCCCAAAAGTAGAAAGTCACATCCGGACTACTTGAGTTTATACATTAACCCCACCTTTACAAAAGCGTAGATCTCGTTTCCCCTCGCTACTCGAGCAGTATCTGCCAACACTTTTAGCCTAGGCCCTTTTTCCTTAGATCCCCTCAGCTGAACCACTTTATATTCAGCCGATGCGTTTAGTCTCCTCCTGTACTCAGCTACATATGTACCCCTCAGTTGTATATGCCCATAGCTTCCTAGCCCTCAGCTCTACCCATGTACCCGGTTACGAACTCTGTTTCATCGGCAATGCATGTCACCCAGATAGATTCGAACTGCCCCTCATCCGCGTCACATTTTCACCACGCATTTTTTGACACCAAACTAAATCAAAAATATGATAGATTGCGGATACTGCTTGTAACATTTGGGGTGTGTTAGAACCCTTAATCCTCAATCATATGATCACATAATACTAAAAACGATGAACATATCTCTCCCTGACGTTACATAGAACCGCAAAAATCCCGCAGAAGGACCTTATTCCGCAGGCTCTAAACCATTGATTGATATGTGACAATACAGGATAAAGTAAATTATAATTGATCACGCATGCTCACATTCATCTCTATCTTTATTACTTTACTGTTCAACTCGGACAAGTCTGCCATATTCGAAACATAGCATACTTCATCAGATCAATTATTGCATTAAGCGTGCAATTTTTCATCATGGCTACTCCAGCTGTCAGTGATAATGCTTTACTTGAACCAAAAGGATTGACCACTCAAGATGGCAAGTATGTCTTGGATCATGCGGGTATCTCCGCCCTCCTTAGATTTGTTGTAAGTCCACATGCAACTTCTCATAATCTCTCTTTAAGGGGCATGCCTATAAAGAAAGGTCAATGCTAACACTCTTTCTGGTCTCATGTGTAGTGGTCTGGGGGTACTTCTTTCCACCACCAAAGATGAATTATCTTGCTTCGCACGGGTGTTGCTTCCAGTCACTACGATCATGTTAAGAAATACATCGACTCCCTTCTCTCCACCTATGCTTCGGGTAGTTTACAACTATTTTCTTGAAGTCAGCATGAAACCATGAACAAATTTGCTGGACTTTCCCGCAGGGCATAAACCCATTGGCTTGATTTTCAAAATAC